ACCGTGCAAAACAACTTGTTCACACTGGTCAGCTTCAACCTGCACAGAAGGAGGGAATTCACTCTTCTGGTCTTGCAGGTCTGGGCGACATCAGTGTCTGTAGGAGTCCAGAAGAACTCCTGCATCTAGGGCTGCTGCCCTAGGAGTCCCTTTCTGACTTCAGTACGAGGAAAGGGCAAGGAGTCATCAATTTCTGAGCTTATACCAGATTTAGCTGGCTTTTGTTGTGCGTGGCTGGTACTAGTTACCAGAGGATTTGTACTGTGCGTTGGAAGAAGAGCATATAAAAGCTATTATAGACAACAGACACAGAAAAGATCCATTCCAGACTGCCGAACAACTGGACGTGAAGCCGTCATATCCTCTTAGATGACTGACTGATAATGAGTTTCTTTTGATCCACCTGGAGCACAGAGCATTGCCGTCAGTGCCTGCCGGTGACTGGCAGGCTGAGGCTTGAATGCAGAGCTAAGTTTTCAAGTCACTATGAATTAAAGGTAAATCCATTTCCATTATCAGAATGCAATTTAGCAAGAAATAAAAAGTTATGTTTAGTGCATTCATTCATTTTGCTCCTTAGTTTTTGTATTATTTTTTCTGTTCATCATGTTTTGATGTTAAGTCTGAGCGCGCTGCCTGAAATTGAAAAACATATGCTTAGCTCAAGCAGCTCCCTGAAACTCATAGCAAGGAAAAAGTCACCGCTACTGTGAGCAGGGAGATGCTTTTCATTTGAACCAACACACTGTTAATATGCTGACTGGGATGAGGGGATAAAAAACATGCAAAATGAAGCTATTAGAAAAAAATACTTGGTCTTTGCAAACACCTCAAAGGCACCTGCCTCAGGAAACAGGGGAGTAAAAGAATAACTGGAATTAGGAGAAACACATACTTACTCTTTCCTGCCCCCTCCCACCCCCCAGCTGCAGGATGCAAGGAGCAATGGCCTGCTTACAAGCTCAGAAAGATTTTTCTGAAGGAGGAACAATGGTCCAAATTCACTCACAGAGTGGCTAACAGGAATCATTGCTGTTGACTTTTATGAGACAGGAATTAAGCCATATAAACTGCTTTTTAAAAATCTCAGCTGCAAATAATAGTAGTAATAATAAGAATTATGTATCATCTCTGATGGGAGCTTGGAGAAAGTTTAACCAAGTTCTGGTGTTCCCCTGGACAAACATTCATATGCATCTGTGGCAAAGATGGTGCATACGTCCTGTGAGTCTGTATGGTGAGTTCTTAAATGACTGCCAAGAGGCAAAACTGATTCACTGGCTGACTCCAGCACCCATTACTACTCTGAGGAGGAGATACTGATCAGGTCTACAGGCAACAGGTAGAGCAAGGTTGGTGAAGCAGCCAGTCACTGCTCATGCACTTCCATACCTCTTCCCAAAGAATGAATTTCCCCACCGAAAGCAGGTAGAAACATTCCATGGGAAGGACAGATTCAAGCCAGAGCTTGTGTTCAAACGTGCTCAAGTTTCTAGGAACATTCAGGTCTAAAACATGGGTCAATTTCCTAGGCTTCTGAGCCTTAGACGTAGAAACTGGAATGCAGACCTTCACTGTGCCTTGCACACATTAAGCTTCCCAGCACCGGTCCAGATAATAGCAAAGAGTCACCATCTGGCTGGATTTTACGGTTTGATGAAGTGCTCAGTTTTAAGGCAAGCACGTGTCTGGCACCTGGGGACTGCAGAGTCCTGATCCCAGTTCTGGCACGGTCTTTCTGTGGCCCTGGGCAAGTCACGTCCTCTTCGGAGGAGGGAATTCATCAAGTGCCCCATGGCCCCACTGAACCAGCAACGGGCTGTTAAAACAATCCTCAGCTCCAAGTGGGGAGCGGTTGGCTGGGGGGGCATTGCAGCAGTGCCAAGCTAGCTCCATGCCACAGCTCAGAGCTGCTGGTCCTGGGGCACAACCGAGAGCCTGCGCTGCTCCTGCAGGGCCCTGCACAAGGCATGTGAGCTCAGGTAGGTTGTTCCAGGGCTTGGGAGTGCACAGGCTTGAAGCAGCCTAGTTCTAAGATCCTCACACGGAGGAAGCACTGGTAAGTTTTGAGCCCTTCTTATATTTGGTTTGGTCTGCACAATGATATTTATTGCTACAATCCAACCCTACAGGTGCATTCTGAGCAGGGTTTACAAACCAATTTGCAGAAGTACAGCACTATTTATTTGCCATTTGTTATCACTAAACAACGACACAATCTTCAGACTTCTAACTTACTCCCATATTACTATAAAGCACAGATGTTTTCTATTTATGAGCAAGAAACCCCAAGTAATGTCGCAGCGGTAATTTCTCATCATTGTGGTCTATTTTTTGTTGGTTTTCCTCCTCTTTTTTTAAGCAGCATGTAACTAGGAGCCCATGGAATTCAAAGCCCTCTTTGCTGCATGCTCAAGCTTCTTTGCAAGCAAAGCTCTTAAGATATGGATATTACAAACAAAACCTATTCATTTTCTACATCTTAAAATTATTAAATCCCAGTATACCTGTATTTGATATTGTAACCTCTCTGAATGCCAGAATTGGCCAGTCTGGTTTCATTTTTCTTTATAGTTTTCTTGTTCATATGTTTGGAAACATTTACCTTAGAAAAAAAAGAAAGAAAGAAAGAAAGAAAGAAAAAGTCTTAAAGGGTACACAAATGACTAAGTGAGGCTGTTTTTCTGAACTCTAAACAACACTTTACCCACAACTCCACAAACAGCTGTGCTTTTTCTGCCCCCTCCTTGACTTGATTCTGCTTCTCACACCAGAGCAGTACAGCTAGGCATGGATGCTGTTTGAAGGGGTAGCTTTTAATGTCTGTGTTTTGAAATGAAATAACAATTTCTGAATTCTATTCCAGAAATACTCCTGCCATTTGATAGTGCTGAATCCTTAATCTGCAAAGTAAATGGGAACTTATGATACATGGAGTTAGATAGCTCTTCCCACAGCAGCACACACCTCTGGGCACGGACTGTATTCTGCCGTTCAGTTGGGACTAATGCTGGTGACCTTCAAGTTGAATAGCAATTGGAGTAGAAAGCCTCTCCTGGAGGCTAACTAGTGAGAGATAAAGAAGTTGCAAAAGAATGAACATTTTTGGCAATTTTCTAGCCACAAGTCCTCCTGCTAATGCCTTAAGATTTTGTTACGTGCTGTTCAGAATACTGTATCTCTTTCAGCAAACGTCTTTCGTGGCAGGGCTGATCTGGGGAAGTTTACTTACAGCAATGCAGCCCCTAGCTGGCATGAGACCTCTTTGTGAAGGAACTCACTGTATAAAAAGGGGGGGAGGGGAGGTCGGCTGAAAGATAATTGAAAGGATTGCAAAGATGAGGCTCACCAGAGGAAAGCAGTGTGACAGCTGTGGGATTCTGAGGATATATTTTACTCCACTAGTCTCTGTGTTGTAATTTGCCCTGTCTGCAGTAGGATTCCTTCACTGAACTGCCTCTTTCACCACAGCTGTCTGCTCAGTTTCTGCTGCTGGTTTTGTACTGCTTATTCTACTGCAAAGAACTTACTTGTGAGTGTCTTAAGAAGGAACACAGGCATCCTTTTCAAGAGAGGCAAGAAGTAAAAACTGGGATTTCAGCTCAAATCTGCAGGCATATAAACTCCTATATATTCACAGATTTTGGCGAGACAACAATAACGTGTAAATGAAGCTGATCAAGTATCACCAAAGCAGTTCATAGGGGATGACTCTCCCTTGCTCCTAGACATGTCTAGTTTCTGTGCTCTGCTGGATACACCCAATGCTAAAATTGCAACCGGCTTCCTAAACTACAACAGAGGATTTCCTTTACTGTCTCAAGATCTTCTCAAAAGCCATTGCCATGCTTTCAACAGCATGAGGTATAACAGCTGCAAGGTCCCCCCTTCAGGACTGCACACAGATCTGTACTCTCAACAGGGTTACATGGGAGCATGCTACTTTACTCTTCTCTGCTGCGTCTGCTTAAATTTCTGCAGGTGTAATTGCTTGCATTGCTTAGTCTTGATAACATCCTGTAGTTCAGACCTCTTAAGCCAGGAGATCACTTAAAAGAGGACTGGATAGCCTTTATCCTAAGAGTGGTTTCCTTGTGCCAAGTCAACACTTCTCCCATCAACGTGCTAAAGCCTGTGAGGCTCACTCCCTCTGGTGGTGCACCCGAGCCTCAGTTTGGCAATCATGGAGAAAAACAAGTTTGTTAATTTGGCTGGGGCTGTTGATTAACCCCTTCCTCTAGTAGTTCGCAAATGACAATTTTTGGTTTATGTCATTCTGCTATAAATCATCATAAATAACCCAGAGCTGTTCAGATCTCAGTAGAGGTGCTTCAAGAGCTTTTCCAGTCCAAATGTGCTGTGCTGAGATCTACATTGCCATCAGTCCTACTGAAAAAAAAAAGAAAAAAGAAAAAAGAGAATAAAATCTCCCCTTTCAGATTTTGTCTGTAACCTAAGACACAAAATTGCTAGTTTACATATTTTGTTAGCAGCTTAGGAAGTCTATTCAAGCTGGTACTCATTTGTGCTTCTTATGTGGCTAAGAGAACAGCAGCAACGTGACTGGCATAGTCATGTCAGGATCAGCATCCACAATTCAGCTGTATGAAGAGGCAGAGGGCACCTCAGGACTTTCACAGTCAATATTCTGCATTCTGATTGATCTAGTGCAGTATATTTCTATCAAGCACCTAAACATGCTCACAATTCCTCCTGACTTCAGTTAAAAAGGTAAATGTGCTTTCCTAAGAAAGGACTCAGGAGAGTTTAGGGTTTTGAGTGAACTCTTGGTTCATCTGCTCCTTTAGGTCTCTTTAGACCTTGTATCTCATAAAAAAAAATTGCACTTAAAAATGACTATTTCAAATTCTTTAGGTGCTGTTCTTTCATATCTCTAAGACTGACTAATTAATGCTTTAACAACATGCTTTAGGAATAGCAAAATGTTTTAGGCATTACGAGAAGGCTTCACCATCCTTAACACAACACAGCACCACAGATTCGGGCACAATTATTTAAAACATTTATTAGCCTTTCATATTCCACTAGTCTGTAAAACATGTTTTTAACCTCTCTGAATAGGATGTGCCCTGAGGGCAGCTCATGCCTTAGTCCAGCAAAACATTTTTCAAAACAGAGTATGGGGTTGCTACATCCTTGAAAGGGATGGATGTGCCTTGCTGGATCATGACTTCATTCCACCATTCCCTCGTGCCTTGTTCACTACGACACATCAATGCTTTCAGAACTACTAGTGAATGTTACTGATGAAGTGTCTTCTGTGAATTTAAAACAGGTAGAATACACACAAAAGATTTCCTACAACTGGTCTGCACCTCCTTCTGCCCACTTAGGTTGTAGAGTTACTCCCGTACACCAAAAAAATCTTTCAGTTAGATACGCTGGATTTCAATTTATACAAAGTACTTTTTCTCTTCTTTTTCTTGTTCATTCGTTGTACTTAGCTAGTTTTAGCCTAGGTATGATGTTCATCGACTGCAGTTCTTGGAATAAGAGTTTACAGGCATAAGGTATCCGCAGAGAAGACACGTGACAAGATGATTTGCAGTAATGGCACCTGTGGAAACAAGCAAAAAGAAAGTCAGAGTTTATGCACAAATAAAGCTCTGCAGAAAAGAGCAGTTGCCACTATCCACCATTTCCTTTGTCCACCTGCATTTAAATACTGCCTTCAGTCCCAGAAGGAGGTGAGTGCTGGAGATGCATTAGCACTTAAGGAAGTCACAACTTTAGGCTCTTAAATAAATCTGACTGACGTCAACAAGAGCTTCATGTTAAACCTGCACTTTTCTTGGACAAGAATCACAGTGCTTAGCAGTTAACAGGCCTGACTTCTACTTCTTCACCACTTGCCTAACTGCCAACTAATATTCAGCATTACATAATGAGAAAGAAGGTGAACAGAACAAAGTATTTCTGAAACATGACTCATGATTCAGTTTCCATCTTATAGACAGTCACAGAAAAGAGGGAGGAAGAACGAAAGATCACATTTAGTTGGGATTTTTTTTTCCTTTATTCACAATGTTACCCTACTAAGCTGCCTGAAACCAATCCACATTCCTAGCTCTGAAAAGGAACATCTCTCTCCTTAGGTCCCTCTGTAGAAACAGCAAAATCTTTTGCAGAGATGGAGATCTGGTAAAACTGCTTTAACACGTAGTCTTTGCACTCTTTACTCAAACAATGATATTAAAATCTGGGAAAGAATATTTCCTTTTTATTCTGTTTATACCTCTGTATTTCCTCATTCTCTTGTATTCTCCATCTTCTGGCTTTGGAAGATTGATGATGAAAGTTGATGTGTTTGCCTTTGCAAACACAGAGTGTGTCCCGGCACCTCCCTAATGGCCTACTCTCCTTCTGCTTATATATTTCATATTTATATTCTCAGCATAAAGTCAAGACAGTCTAAAGTTCCAAGCAGCTACATGCTTCTGTGGTGCAGAATGAGATAAAGAACGAACATCTGCAATAAAGCCAATGCTTAGTCATTTGTTTCTGTTATCAGTGACCTTGATCTAGGGCCTGAGGGAGTCACTGCAGCCAGGCCTAATAAGGCTGACTGATGTTAAGCAAGGTTCTTGGTTATGAAACTCACCATTAGTTCCTTCGCAGTTGCTCTTCCCTGACTATGCTACTTCTCTTTTATGGATATATTTAAAAGAACATCCCCAACAGATGTTCTGAAAAATTGACCTCCTCATGCTCCATAATTGGGGTATTTTTTTTTTTTCCTCCTGAAAATCATCTAAGATTTGACAACTAACGGTATAGAAGATTTAATTACATTTCTCTAGTTTATGATGTCTTAAATCAGAACGGGCATCAATTACAGGTTGATAACTATTAACTTGGTCCAAATTTATAGTGATAGCTGTGTTTTTACGAAGGGTGAAGTAGCCTAAACAGAAGCAATTTTTGATGACAGCAAATAGCAAACAATTGTACTAAGAACAAACAAACAAACAAACAAATACTTTGCAAGCCCTGGAAGCTTGATGAGTCACAACGTTTCTGATTATCAGCAGTAATCTAGTGTTTGATAACAGCAGCTAAGAGCTGAGGAATCCAAATTACTCACTGCACCACACCTTGAAGCTAGACCCTCCTGTGCCTGTTTTGTAGGTGCACAAGGATCATCCATAAAGGTTACAAGATACAATGTGCACAAATTGTAAATTACTGTCAACAGAGATCATAGAAATTGAAGTATCCAAGAGACCATTTGAGTTTAGGATTGATGCCACATTGAACAGAAAAAGGCAACAGTGCCAAAGCTGATCTTAAGATTTTAAGATGCCCAGACTCTATGGAAAAGAATAACTTATCATCATCAAAAAAGGACCAAATTTCATTCGAAAAATTCAGTACATAACTCTGTAGCACAGCAAAGCTGAAGGATCTGCACGCAGCTGGTTTTGTTGCAGCAAGCTTCTACCTGTACCTTTTATGGGGACAAATTCTGTCACTGCCACAACAGTCCCCTTCCACGAAAAGTACCAGTCCAGGCCCCAACACCGATGCACTGTTAGTGTGCTGCAGAGAGACATACCCAACTGCTAGTCCCTGTCTGGGAGGAGAGCATATCTTCCTGTGGACAATTGTCCTTAATGACATCCACCAAACAATATGTTTCACAAGGTTTCTCACAGCAATGCCTGATTAATGCTGGAATCACTGACCAAGCCAGTTTGGAAGACGTGAGTTTCTCTTAATGACCGTCTCCTCTGTGATGCTCATTATAGGGCCACTTGCTTTGGCTACTGGTAGGTACTGTGTATTACATAGCAGAATCTACCTCTTTTTGATTACTCCTGCACTCCAGACAGCTTTTCACAGAACTCAACTGCAAGAATGTCTCGCTCTGTCTGAGAGCTTCTTTCAGTTATTTTAAAAACTTATTAAACTTTGTTATGTTACAAACTTCAAAACAGAAAGCATTTGGATTAGCAATCCTTTAAAAACAAAGTTTAACACTATCTCTAATGTTTAACTTCCCAATTTCTTCAACGTGCTTTCATTGAATCCAGTCTCTGAAATTCAATCTTCAATTGTACTACATCTGCATGAGGGTATTTTTAAGGCACTGCATTACACAGTGAGAAGCGGTTGTTTGAATTCATGCACGCTCTTCCTTCCAGGCAACTGCCTTCAACTCTTACTTGTGCTGCAGCACTTTTAAAAGACCTGGATCAGAAAGAAGGCTCACTTGTTACATACAGTGCATACACACGCAAAAAAAAACAAGAGCTTAAAAATGTTTATTGCACAAAAGCCAGTAGGGCAATGTCCAACTAAATATCACCAACCAAGGCTTTGTCTGTATTTCTGCTCCATAGGGAACAGAACTGCTACTGGTATTAGCAAGCACGGCGAGTTCTTTCTGGCCAGACACACTTCTGAAGAAAGATTTGACCACAGCAAGAAAGGATAGCTGTCACTTCTATGTCTATAAACTGAAAACATGCCTTACTTCCTCCCATATCACAGAAAAATTACTCTCCAAGAACCAAAGTAAATAAAGCCCAACGTCCTGCCCTTCCTAATTGATATTGATATCCAAGATGCTACAAACTTCCAACGTTATTAGGAAATATTTAGAAATGAATCCTCCTCCTCAAACTCCTCATCTTCCCCAACAAATAAGCACTGAAGTAACTTGCAACTTGAACACACACAATTGATATTTTCTTCCCTTAGTCATGGGACTCTTGGCCAAGGGCGAAGTTCTGTCACACAGAGGCACATTTACTCTCTCTATAACATGTTGATTTATGTACCTTAGAGTTGAGGGCTATCTTGAAAATAGGAACATGTAAGAAAGACACCACATGCACACAGTGAAGAAGGGACACCATGACCTACAAAAGGTCATAACCACTGCAGTTAGACAACTTACCAGCCAGAGTATCCCAGCAAGCCACACTGCCCACAAACATCCACTTCAAAGGCATCACTTGAAATCATCAGTCTCTCCAATAACAGCATGCTGGCTCCATAACCTATCAGGCAATCCCGTTCCATCTCTCCAAGACGTAAACCACCATCACGGGATCGACCTTCAGTGGGTTGCCTTGGAAATAAATATTAGGAAAATGCAGTAAGAATTCCAGAACACAGGTTCCACCACTCTAGGAATACCTGCTTTCAAACTACAGGAATGGTATAATATCATCAGATAACAACATTCTACAAACCAGTGCTGCTGATCTCACAGATGTCATTCAAATTGAAGAATTTCATCTTTGCTCCTGCATTGGCAATGTGACGCAGTTCTGTGAGCAACAACGGCAGTGTCGTGCCACATCTTTACCTCACAGAATGTAGCTGAGCAAGCAAGACCAAAACAGTATTCAAGAAGAATATCTAGCAACCACAAACCTGGATACAGATACTCTTTTTTAGCTGAAATGTTTATTGTATTTTATAGTCATTTAAATGACTATAAAACATATAAAAACGATATAAACTATATATAAAAACTATAAAATTCAGCAGCTAATGAATGCGTCATCAAGATGAACCACAACTAAGTGAGGCTAAATTGTTAAAATAAGACCAATTTTAATCAAAAGTATCAAAACAAAGCAACAAAAAGCATGATCAACTACTCCCTTCTGCTGTGTGCGTACTACTAACTCTTTACTTAAAAAAAAGAAAGGTGCAGAATTTCAGTAACAATTATCTCATTTACTTTTTCACATCTGATGGTCAACAAACTAATTTCAGTGCTGTATGGGCTCTCTCTAGCTCCTCAACACAAACTGAAGTCTCACTACTTGTCTGGAAAGACCTATTTATCCTCGTGGTGCCAGAAGGAAGGAAGTTTTAACAAACCACAGAATTGTAGGGGTTTGGAAGCGACCTCTGGAGATGATCAAGACCAACTCCCAAATCAATGGAAACAGACATTGAAAATTTTGAGACAAAAAAGCAAGGTAAAATCTATTACTTAACAGTATATATATATTTTTGGTTGGTCGTGGCCAGAATTTTCAATATTCATTTGTCATGCTGCAGTGTAGTTTGGTATTAGTTCTGCTCTCATATATTAGCACACACAGTAGCACTTGGGCTGCAAATATGAAGAGTGAACTACGAAGCAGAAACAATCTTAACTTCCTGAAGCACTAATATATTGCATGCATGTCATGAAATACTTCAATCTTAGTATATTCCCCGAAGCATGACAGCAAAGAGAAGGAATAAAAATTGTTATCAGCAATCACAGGAGGCTTTGTTGGTCATTGAAAGCCAGTGTTTATGTGCTGTTCCTTTCTGCTAGGGCACTGTAAATCATATAAAATATACAATGCATACATAACTTTTGGAGTATATTTAGTTGATATTATTTCAATCTACTAAACATGTTAAATATATTAGATAGATTTAAAATAAGTTTTTGCCAACTTAGGGAAAAGGATTTCTAAAACACTTCAACATCTAATAATTATTTACAAGTTAAAAAAAATAATAATGTATAGCTAATTACCAGACCAAACTGACCTTCCAAAGATGCAAGCTGTGTTTGTTTTTTAGGGGAAGTAGCTCCCTTTACTCTGACCACAGTGGAACTTTAAGACTAATCTGCTTGTAATTCAAATTGCCCTTTTCATTCACATAACCTTCTATTTTTCCCTGCTGTTGGGAGAATGGATAGAAGCTGTTTACATCCTGATTAAACTCCCAAGCCCCCCCCCCACTCGGGCGATGGCACCATCACTGTTCAGACACAGTTTTAAAGGCCTAACCCTGTGGGAATGCAGTTTTGTGAAGCGCTTTGAGGCAGATTTAAAAGCAGTTGAGGCGTCCAGTTGAGCACAGACATTTGCTGCAGCACTGCATTAGAAGTGCCCGAGTTTTCTTCTACCAGCTGACTTGTCCAATAATAGTTAAACTTGGAAGCCTACTTTCAAGAATTTCACCAGGTGTTGGTCCACAGGATAAAATGCCAACAGAGCTTTATAAACGTGACCCCCCTCCCATTGCCCCCTCCCAAATAAAGTCACAATCCAATTAAGGGAGGATAAAAGCACTTGAAAAAACTATGGGGTCTCGATTCCAGCCCTTGAAGAGATGGAGGACGAAGATTTTTAAGGCAGCTGAAATCCCATTAAAAAAACCCACGCACACATGAACAAAAATTTCAACTTCAATCTTAAGCTCTTAAACGTTTCACTCCCACTGAATGTCAAAATTATCTCACTAAAAACAAAAGAAAGCAAATAAAACCCTTCCTTTCAGGGAAGTAGTCTAGTTCTAAAGTACTCAAACTTTCAATATCAAGATTTGGCCTTTGAAAAGAGTCTGTCTTTGGCTCCTTAAGTTTATCAGAGTTTTTTCAGCTTACACGAGTTGGAAAATTTTTCATGCTAAGGGTCGTTTAAAATATTCAGACAGTTTTTAGGAAGCATCTGTGCTTCTATACACATACACTGCAGCTGTTGCCACGGGTAACTGCTGCTGTTATTTATTCTGAACATAACATTCTGAAGACAAAGCAGACACTCAAAAGATAAGATGAGGAATATACAAAAAAAATTACATCTTTCATATTTTAAGGAAAACAGAGATCTTAAGACTCTTAAATCTTACGTCAAATGAATGGATTTTTTAAATTAAAAGAACTAATAATCAGGCCAAGTGGTCTTCATACTACTCAACTGTTGCATTTAGGAAAAAAACCCATGAGACAATTAACTCCAGTGGTTTAATCACATTAAGGGTTTATTGGTACTATTTTCTGGAAGAGCAGCAGGTTCAGCTTCATGGTGCCATTCCTTGTTTCAGTGGCAGTGGAGGGAAATGTGACCTGCTCCCATGAGCAAGGGGACACCTCCTGGATCTCACCTCAACTCCTTGCCTGCACCAGAGCTCTTGGCTGAAATGCTGATCTCCCAGAAGTGTGGCACTACCTAAAAAAACCACAGCCCAACAGGAGGTGGGAGCACCGTGCTCTCCAGAGAGGAACTCTGACCACTCTCACATTACGGCTCCACGGTACAATAGGAACTGGCAATGATAAGTTCAAAGGACGTGCAGGTGGCAGCTCTGACTGCCCATCAAAACAACCATGCCTGCAGAAAGCTTACACTGTTCTCTCACAAACAAAACTAAAACCAGTTTATCTATTAGATATTTAGCAAGACTGAGCATCTGCACAACACCATCTATAGAATTACGTTTTAAATTAATTGTTAAACACTCATGGGAAAAAAATAGTGAAGTCTTGCATTTCATTTAGCAAATGCCAACTCAGAGGGTAACATCCTGGTGGTTTTTGATCATGCTGACAGAGTGCTGCTTTGCAATTTCACAAAGTCCTGTTTAAATCTGAGCAGTACTTAACATTAGCAATGTTCAGGGAACTCAAGTCTTCTGCCTTACTTCAGATGGAAATGTAACTCCGTCAGTTAAGGTACACTTGATATATAATAACATGTATTTCAAGATGATGATTGCTAAATTCCATGTTGGAAGCTGTTACAAGATTACCTCAAAAGGCAAAAAAAAACCAACAATGTTAGAGGCAATCTAACAGGAAGTGCAATGGATGAAAAAACAATAGTGAATATGAAAGCTGGCAGAGCAGGCTCCCTCAGCAGAGGCAATGGCAATAAGGGCAGTTTAATTAGTTGAGGAGAAAAAAGAAAATTCCTAAAGGGCTAGTCAAGTGGCAGCATAAATTGAACATTCACTAGCTTTCCTCAAAGTCAAATAAAGAGACCTAGCTCCATAGTGTGATGTTACTGACTGGAACAAAGGATTCAAAGCAAGGGGTGGGGGAAATCACAGCACATTCATTTTTACATACAAGTATTACCTTGACTTGGGATTTAAGTTTTATTTAAATTCATTATCTCTAAAAAGCTGAGAAAGCTGGGGGAGACAATATGAAAGCTGATGAAGGGATTTGGATAAGCTAGGAGCTCTAGTAAAACAACTGTGTGCACCTCTAGCTGAGACTAAGTTTTCATTTTCGTACGAAGGGACAACAGTATGACTAACACAGAAAATGGGGCAGACAGACCAGTAATTGGGAATATCATTCCCACTATACAAATCATCATCCAAATTGTCCAAATCATACTGGCAAGGAGCTATGACACAAAAATTAAGAAGGAAAGTGCAGCAAAACTATTAGAAGTTTAGAAATAAAAGTTTTTCATGTTTTCTCTCCCTGTTTAATCTTTGATATTTTTCTCTATGGAATGTGTGAGACAACTTCAATTTGCCCCAGAGAAAGCATGGGGTGAGAGAGCTAAAATACATGGGAAACATGCAGCAAAAAGCAAGAGAGAAAGATACTTCTTTATCAGGTAGAGCAGAGACCTGCACCTCCACTCTGTAACAATGTAAGAAAGGCAAAAGCTGCACCTGTTAAGAGGACCGAGTGGCTAACATAGTGTGTGGGCAGACAGGGCAAGCTGTCTGGCAAGATTTAGCTGATAATCCTCTGTGATGGACAGAGTTAGACTAAGGGATTCACTAGAAGCCTCCTCAAAACAAAGACTGTGCCACTGAGCCACCTTCTGTGAGACAGGGATGTCAGCAATACAGCTCATGAGCACAAGCAGCCTTAGAGCTGGAGCCAAAAAGCTTATTTGCCTCCAAGGAGAAAAGGTGAGTAGCACCAATGAAAGCAGAATGCTGCCAACTCCCCAAAGGTGCAGAGAATGTAAGCCCACCTCCAGGTGTTTTTGTTACATTTACCCTAGTGTACATCTTCAAAATTTACCCAAGAGGACATCAATGCAGCAATCAACATTTTTGTTGGAGAGAGAACCAAGTTCAGGCTCGGAGCAATCAACACAGCTCCACAGAAACTGAAGACATATTTAAACTAGGCAAATAAAAACAGAGATTTATTGTTGTTGTCTCTGTAACCTTTGCAATTTATTAGTGTGAAAGCACAGTTCTCTTGCACAGTATTGTACAAAAACTGTGGATCACCACATAAAACTCTAAATTAAGTTTTACAGTTGAATGGAAGTTTTGCAAGACCAAGTGCAGTGTACTGGGGATGCATGTTATGCTAATGCTGGTTTGTGCTACAGTTGGGCCACATCAGTATTAACCTGCTCCATATCACAGACTGTTGAAATATCTAAATTAATTTGTTTCTACTCGTATCTTATTTTGTAAAAGTACAGTTGTTAAAGGGGAGAACTGGTCCTCCTAAAATGCCTATGATAAAAACAGTCCAGTGGGGAAGGGCCAAATTGTGCCCTGAGAATCAGAGCATGGTGCTTTTTAACCAACTGCTAACAGAAGTCTGAGAAGCACTCAGTTTTTGTACAGCACAGAGCACACCTGGATATTCAGAACAACCTCCTACCACAGCGCACTGTGAGAGCTCCACTGTGTAGAAGCGTATCAATAGCTGACAGCATCTTTTGTCAAGCATCAATAAATAAACTGCTGAATAAACTGCTGAATAAACTGAATAAACTGCTTGACACCCATCTGTTGGATGAGCATATTTCTGAGTGCAGGTGAGGAATTCTGCATCCAGCCTTGAACAGTACCTGGTAAGTACTGCTCTGGGTCCTCGAGCTCTTGCATGCATTTTATCCAACACCATGTGCTTCAGTTTCTGGTAATACACAGGGCCAAAATAGATGTACGCTTCCAGAGGCTCCCTGGATGAATTAAGAAAAAACACAACATTCACAGTTAGCACATATTTACTTTAAGAGAGATAAGCGTGCCACAGACAAGAAGAATTTAAAACAATCCGGGAATCACAAGTCCTTAAAATGTGCGTTGGGGCTTCCAGGTCTGAAAATCCTCCAGAAAACCCCTCTGAACAGAAGAGCAGTGCACTGCCAGCACCACGCACTGCTGCATCAAGGGACAAGCAAGGAACAAGCTCCTCAACTCTTGCCACATGATGTTCTATCTGCAGCAGGTGGGGGCCTGCTCAGCAGCCGTGCGCCCAGCACAACACTCTCTGTCTGGGCAGGCACTGGAGGCTCAGACAAGCAGGGTAAAGGGACCATTCAGAACTGCACTTAAGATGCTGAGCTTTGCATCCACACAGGAACATTTAGAAGCAGCACAGAGGGTGTTACTCATTTCTGGGAGCTGGATTAATAGGTGAAGATTTCTGTCTTTAAAATAGCCCCAACTGTAAGAACAGCACAAACAACTAAAGATCAGAAAGCAACAGCTGAGAATACTTGGTCATTTCCCAGTTGCCACCTTCAGCACTCACTAACAGCCAGATTTAACACAAAAACTCAGCACACTGCCAGCCATTTCTTTCTAGAAACATGCATGTGATGCAAAATCAAACAGCAGACAACCTCCCAGTCACAGCCCCTATTGATATGGTAGAGTGTTAATCCAAAAGCCACCCATTTAAGCCAGTAACAATATGCAACTAGACATTTGGAATTTGCATACGTATTTGGAATTTTCACACACATTTGCTTCCAAATTTCATAAAAAAAGAATACATGAAGCACATGAAATTTTGCCTGTGAGAATACCAGCAACCTAAAGAAAAGTTTCTAAATAGGACAAAAATCAGTACAAAGCTGAAGTTCAGGAGCGGGAGAATTCTAGAGCAAGATTATTCTCAGTGGGAAACAAGATTAGGCATGTTTGTTAAAATCATGAGTTATCAACAAAAAGTTTTTCAAACATTCAAGTACTTCACAAAGAATGTAAGGTGTAAAAAATCTTTGGTCTTGAAACAAAAGACAAACAACATATGGAATAAGTTGGTAAGAATAGCAATTAAAAATAAAACAACTTACAGGAGAGATCCGAACTTATTCCTTGAGAAGAAACGGACTTGGAGAATAATAAAAATAGCAGGAAGGTGGGATTAAGATACATTTTGGAAGGCAGGCATGTGGAACCATATGGCCTTTTCCTGTTCCTAAACTATCTTGTGTTCTTTGAACTCCATGCCTCAGAAGCCAGTCCCATCGGCACAGCAGGAAGGTTGCAGATTAGAGTGCAATGCCAGACTGAATCATTGTGTAAGTGAAAGGAATAATAAAATAAAGCACACAAAAAATATTCCCAAGGAACAGACACCTGCTTCCAAATCTACATTTTACAGTACTATTAGAATCACTATGAAAATGCTCATCTGACTCCAAGTACATACAAGAACTGCTGCTAAAAGAAAACTGAAATTCCTCCCAATCCCTCAGAAGGAAAACCTTGATTTTAACTTTTTTGCCATACAGGAGAACTCAGCAGATTTTCACGTCTCCTACAATAGCCAGTCACATTACAGCATTTCCCCACTCCCCCAGACAGCTAAATTACGCAGCAAATTCTTACCCAGTGATACCAGATGTTACATAGTCCTTCCCTAGGTAGTTATAACCATGGCGAATGAGATCTTCACACACATCCTTCACTTTACTGCCTCCAAAAGCTGTTCCGTAGTGAAATCTGCCATCTAGGACCCCAGCCTTCCCAGCCAGGAGTTCAATTAACTTTCCTACCTACAAGGAAAAGCAGAGTTAACAGCCTGCTGACCAGCATATGCTAGAACATACCTGGATCAATCACAGCGTTAGTAAGGGAGATGTCTAGTGGGAGGTGCCCCTGCCTATAGGAGGGGGGATGGAAGTAGGTATCTCAAAGGCCCCTTCCAACACAAACCATTCTGTGATGGGCCTGAGATGGCAACCTGTGTTACTGTGTGCAACAGAAACAGTGGGAGAAACCCAAGGAGAACAAGGAGGTATTCCTGTAGTGAGGGATGAAAAGCAGACGGGGTCTGGGATCCCTTTAAGTACCAGAGTCAGACATTCCCTTTTTTTTTTTTTCCAGCTTGTCTGAAAAGTGAGCACGATCCAGTGTGGCCTTCTGCTGTGGGAGACTGCTGCAGAGTTTGACACTGACCCACAGTGCAGCAGTGGGAACAGGAGGAAGGCAGCTAACAAAGGAAGAACATCACAGAGGTGTACAAAATAATCAGTAGAGGTTCCATACAAAGGTCAGGTTCTGATGTACATGGTACAGCCCCACAACAAGGCTTGCATGAATTCCATGGAGATGTCAGTGATCTAAGGCCTAGAACTATTACTGAAACTCTGCTCTTCCCCTCACTTTTGCCCAGCTTACTGGGCACGGTCACTTGGGAGGGAAAGACTTTAAGTGAAGTAATTGGTCGCTCTTCTAATAGTTTGATGCGGAACAAAATGATTGTGATGCACAAACAAAAAGCCCACATCCCAACTCCTTTTACAGAAGGATGTTTCAAAACAGATGGTTGAAGGTTCATAAGAGGGCAAGCATGTGGCATGAGGACTGGAGAATATTCTGGCTGTGACTGTATGGCTCTCACATACACACAGTTTTGTTTTTCTGGCTTAACAACTTCACTTTCTATTGCAGGACGCTGCCTCTTTAATGACAACATAGCCACTAACCGTCATACGCGATGGGAAGCCATGAGGGTTCATTATGATATCTGGACAAATCCCTGTATCACAAAATGGCATGTCCTCCTGAGGAACAATCAGTCCACACACCCCTGCAGAAGAGAGAATATTTCAATTCACCAACAGCAAACCACCAGCAGGGCTGACGCCTCATCACCAGATTTTCTTCGGTGTTTTTCTCCTCCTCTCTTTCTCATGGATCACTTTTTACCCAGATTCATTACCGTGACCGCTGCTCGGACCTGCAGACTGGAAGAGAGCCCTTGTGACAGGACTGGCTGCATTAGCATAGCCCTGCATAATGCTCCCTGTGACGTGTCAGCTAGCAATTAGGGAAGAAAGCTTCAGATACAGTTTTCAGATGCAACCAGAAGCTTTTGACCATCAGTCTGGAACATCTCAAGTGAAACTATTTTTTAGAGCTGATACTATAATTGTCTGGGAGAAAAAAAAAGAAAAAAAAAAAGAAATCAGGTCTCTTGCATTACCTCTTCGGACAAACAAAATTAACACTGATTCAGAATCCCTTTATCACGTGCATCTTCACTAAACGCTTAATAAAGTCAGCATTTGATACAAGCTGGGGCAAATAAAGGGAAAATACAAAAACCCAACCTTTTTTCAGGTAGTGTTCATTTGCTGAGCAAAGACTGGTCTTGATGAACTACAGGCAGTATAAGGAGGGGTTGTACTTTGTATTTTGTCTGCCCCTGAACACACATCGTAACTTTAGGGATTTTTTTTTTTGTCTCACTGGGACAAAACAAAAGAACAAAACACCAAACTCTAAAATTACTTGTGATGTGTTAAGCGGAAGCACGAAAACTCACTTAAAAGTCTATCACGCATCGTGGCGTTTTCCTTTCCATTCTTACAGTCGAATGCTGCAGATCAGAACACTGCAGTGATAAATGACCACGAGATCTAACATACAACTTCAGGTGTTAAAATGCAGCTGCTTACGCCCATACTCCTTCGAGCCAATGCTACCGTTTGAGCGGCCAATTTCTTCCAGAAGCCCTTACAACTGGAAAAGCCAACAAGCTGTCTGAGATGAGCCCGTCACACTCTGGGAAGGGCCCCACAGTGGAGGGGCTACTAATGGCTGGGGGTGCTGGGCAGATCCCCAAGCAGGCAGCCCTGGCCGCCAGCACACAGGGGGATGGCGGCGGCAGCTCAGGAGGGAGCAGCAAGGCAGGGAGAGGTGCACCAAGAGCAGTCAACGGAGCGGGAATGGTAAGTATGGGGGGAGGGAGGAGAAGGATGAGAGTGCCTGGGAGGTGGGGGTAGCATTTAGTTTTGAGCTTATTTAAATTAATTTTCACTGTTCCATTATGATAAAGCGGCAGCACCTTTCTACCCTCCCCACCAAGAAGCAACCACTTGCTGAAAATGAAAAAAAAAAACCACCAAAAAACAAAAAACAAACCCCACTCTTTCTTGTGAGCACAAGTTCTTTATCCTACATTCGTACACATAAATACTTTACTATGGGTTTATTATGCCATTTGTGTTGTGCCTTATTCCTGTTTAGTTCTAAGAAAGCATTAGGCTACATCTGGACTTTGGGGCACCTGTAAGCCAAAAATTAAATCTTAGCTAACTTAAAATTACTTTAGGCTCTGAAAACCTTTTATATGCCACGCTGGTTCCCATAGCAGACAGCCACTGTGTTGTTTGTTTTGTGTGAAAGTGAATGATAAAAGATCCATGAAATCGACACAGAAAGGCAGAACAGCAGAAAGAACTGAGGGCTCTCCATCATAGCGGCTTCTACCCTCCGCTGACTTGCGGAACAATGGGACCTACACACCCAACTGCAGATCTAACACAGCTGTGCATTTCATTAGATGAAGAGCACTAGTGACACAAGTAAATAATTAACTTATTCTGGTCCGCTGGCTGTGGTTATGAGACCAGTCATAGCTGACAGATTTTAATACAAGTTAACACAAAGACAGCATAATGAGCTTAGAAGTTAAAAACAAAATATTTAGAATCCAGCAATGGGAAGCTCGCTAGGCCATTTATAAAGTTTCTGTTATAGCCCAGGAAAAAAAAAAAAAAAAGGAAAGAAAGAAAGAAAGGGAAAGCTATGAAACCTGGGTTCTGAGCGTCTGTATTTTAAGAAGTTGCTGAGTTTAGGTAGCAGATGTACAGCACATTCAATTGCAGAGAAATATGCAGAGAACGGGATGGAGAGCAGCTTCTACTTCTCCGTCTTTTAAGAAAGTTTATTTTTTCTCCTAAGGAGAAATGCACAAACCTGAAAGGCACCTTCCTGCACACAACACAACTTCTAAAAGCAAGCAGCTGCAACTCACTCCAAAACGTGAACTTGATTCACTTTGTAGTCCCTCTCTGTCGGAGGCTCTTTCAGAGATCAGCTAATGCCTGCAGGTCTGCTCTGAGAGTTCCTGACTCTGCTTCTCTCTTTCAGACCCGATTGCTGTACCAGGGTTTGCAGCAGGGCAACAAAATGCCAGTTTTGCATTGCCAGGCAGCTGCAAAAAGGTGACTGAGTGAATTAATCCATTAGAAGTAGAATAATCATTTGAAACTGGCACATAAAACAGTAAAGGAGAAAAGGCAGAAGCTGGATTTAATACAGCCTCAAGTTCCAAACGCTGTCCCGTGCAACACCAACTACATTTCACAGCCAAGCTGCCCGGCCGTTCCCTATGCAATATCCATAAGTAGGACATGCTCAAACCCGTACTTAACTTACTGCAGGTTTTTAGGACTTCCTGATTATTATTCATTCAGACATCACATGAAAACTGCTCCCCAGCTTTCATATAGAACAAACAAAATTACTTGGTTTCATTCTCCCCCCCTCCCCAGCACGCATGTTCATGTGCTGCATGTGAAATCCAGCAATACAGTTTTAGCTTACACGCTGTATTCTGATGGGCCTGAATCTTTTCTCACCCGTAACACTGTGAAGTTCTTTTCTAGGACCAGAATCAAACACTAACAACCAGAAAAGGCAGCAATTACTTTTCTAGACAAAACAAATGCCGTGCTGTTGTATGCCAGCCAGTAAATGCCAGCCCTCATCACTCCCGATGGCCTCATCTTATGCACAGCTGTCTGCATCCCAGCACCCCGTGCCTCCACATGGCCCTACAGGACACAGAGCTCTCCCACCTCTTTTCTCCATTCCCTGATGGGAGATATTCCCATTTCCAGAACCGGTGTCTGCCCTGCAGCCTGCTGACAGCCATGAAGGGCCGGGGGTGGTGGGAGGGGGCAGGGTCCCAGTGATGGTATGGGAAAGTTTGTCACCAGCTCTGTCAGGTGCCCTCTATGCACACATGCCAAATGGAAAAAAAAATAATCAAATAAGTCAAAACAACCTAATATAGAAAACTAATTACTAGCAGCAGGAGGGACATTAGCAAGCAAAGGAGACAAAGTGAATGGAAGCAGCAGTAATACCAGCTCCTATCAGCAAGACAAAAAGAACTGCATTACTAAGTTGTCCCTGTTTGTTTATTCCAATGATAGAACGGCAAAAGAGCTCAAACTGAAAAGTGCCTACTTTAGATCTGCCAGGTTTGACAGAGTTTGGAAATACCCCTGAGAAAAACAAGTAGGCCATGTAATGAAGAAGAGGGGTACCTACAACACAGCGCTGTATATTGCGGGCAAAGGACCAACTGATGGGCAATAGTGAATAAGGTTAAGCAAAAAAGTACGTCTGCATCAGAACTCTGACTGCACACTGCCATGGCTAACTAAGCACAAAACAACTCCAGGAGAGAAAAGTGCCGCATCACACGAGCTTTGTTCAATATCAAATCATTCGCTGATCTATCGTATCACTTCCTAGATCCCATTTGACATAAGAACAGAATTAAAATTAACAGATAAATAATGCATAAGTAAACTTGATTAGTTTTCTTATTAAAAACATCACTCTAAATGAGAGGAGGTGCTAGAAGACAATACAGTTTGTACACTGCTTTCCCATGAGCTGCTGAATGGTCTGATGTGATAAATTTGCATAGTCTGAAGCACACAAAGAGCTGATTAATTGAAACCCTTACAATGCTTCTGGAAGCAGCTATTGTAAAACAATAACCATAGGAACTTTACAAAATACACATGGCTGAATGAGTCAAGAGCTTAATAAAATGTGTGTTCAGGATACACTATTTGGAAACAGAATTAGAGATTTTTATTCTGTGCCATAAAATGCTAAATCACCCTAATTTCAGAGGTTGTTGAGGATTTACTGAAGAGGTCAGAAGGTTACCTGTTTGCTGCTTGAGATAAAAAATGCCCTGATTTTCTTCCTAAGCAAGCACGCCAAGCAGCGGTGTTGTGAAAAATAAATAAACAAAGCCCTTAAGGGAAGTTTTAACAACATTCTGACATCTCCTTTTCTCATAACCAACTTCTGAAGACAAAAATAAGGTAAGAAATTCCCACCTTCCCCAATGTCCAATAAACGCTAATCATCCTGCATTCCTGCAGTCAATAACAGCAAATTCTTTTTAATACCGCTTTAACCATTTAATTCCTATAAACCCACCTATGTGTTATTAGAGATAATGCACTAAGTCTGATTTATAAGGTGGGAAAATGACACCAGCAACGATTTAAAGCTCGCATCTCAGTTTACACACACTGCCTACGTGTAGTGCAAAAGCAGCCACTGAGAGGACAAAGATAAGTTGTTCTGAGCTATGAATTCAGGCAAGCACGAGGCAGATGCTCAAACTAGTAAAAATTTTAGAAAGTAAGCAAGGTCAGACTTTGGTATATAAATGGCATTGTAATGAAGTTTATGTAGTTGACAATGCTATGAATGGATTTTGTTTTGACAATAAAGAACACGGTTCATTTAGGAAAACAAAGACCATCTTTCATGAATTTAAACTCGCTTCCTTGTCTTTAGAGTTGTTTAAGTGCAGATACTTCAGAAAGGTTTAATCCTTTATCTTAGATCTTCAGCTATTAAAAAGCTTCTGTTTGCCAGTTCAAACAATCTCTTGCTTAAATACAGTTTTTCCACTCCTCAGGAATACTGTTCAGCGTTGCTGCTTAGTTCTGTGATCTACAGGACCTTTGTTGGAGGTGTTAATCCTTTTTCACATGAGAGACTGAGAAATGTTCTTTCAGAGAAGTGATATATTGCTTTTTTTCACATCAAAGGAGCCCAACTTTTTCCTCATTGTGACTTGTAGCAAAGCAAGAGGAAATCTGGAAATATAATAATTTAGTTTGTATGGAATTCAGATGAAGCTTCTTTAGCTTAACAATCCTTTAGCCTTCTGTGCTTTGAAAGTGAATTTTCTGAAGAATGCAAGATTAGAAAACAAAATAATACACCAAAAAAGTTTCTTTATCCTTCTGGAAAATGTATGATATGTTATAGTTAAAGCAAAGACCTACAGCTTAAGATAAGTCGTGTCTGGTATGTATACATTTAGTCCTGAAACATTAGAAGCTTAAGGACTTTAATAACTAAAGGGACAGCCCTAAGATTTTACTGTGACATCCTGTTTGAAGATGAATATTGAGATAGCACAAAATACTAGCCGGTGGGTTTCAGAACACAACGCAATGGCCTAACTTTCCTTCTTCTCCTGTACTTTGTTGACAAGTTTCAAAGGGAAGGCGAGGGCTTTCCGGGCAGTTTGGAAGAAGTGCACTTACAGCATGGACTTGCATGAAAAGAGTGGACAGGCCAGGAAGTGGTGACCCTTGCCCATACAGTGTTGACATGGGAGAGGACACAAAGAAAGTAGCAAATACAGATGCAGTGGCATAGATCTAAATTATTACAGGGGCCTACCAAATCTACATGCGTATTTAATGAAAGGCTCTTCTGTAACAAAAGGCTAAAGCTGGTTTGTGAGATTTAATCTGTTGTATCCCAGACACTTTCCAATTCTGTTACCCTGCTTCCTTCTGCCCCAGTGACAAAGTATACCTTCAGAATACAAATCAATTTGGAACACATGGAAAAAAAAAAAACCAACATGAAAAAAGCTTTGCACAATCTTGTATTTAATACATATTTAATTAGTTTAAAACTGTGACCACAATATCATGAAATCAAATCTCATCTTCATACACTCTCTCCAGAAAATAAAAAATACTGACAATAGAGAAAGGACAGTAATTTGCTTTCTCTCCTTCTTACTAAATTGAGGTACTTGTTTAAATGGCTCTATGATGGGCTTAAAACTAACACTCACAAATTAAACTTGAAGAGGTAATCAGCTGCATTCAGACAAAGAAAGAACAAATTCAAGGCTAATTAAAAATTCTCTCAATAGAAAATGTTAAACCATTAGTACTGTGATTTCTGTTTCACAGTTGCCTATATTCTTCTGCTACAACAGATCCTTCTCTGATTTGATGTTAGAGAAAGATGATACTAGCAGTATGTTTACACAGCTAGCGCAGGAGATTTTCCCCTTCTTTTCAAAGCTTTTGTTGCCTGTAATCTAACATTAAGTCAGCATCCAGTTCTTCACTGTATGCTGAAGTCACAAAACAGTAAGCTCCAGTGTTCTTGTCAGTATTTATTTCTATGTATCTAATGTATTTATCTTCTCCCCAAGCACATTTCTCCCTTCCACCACTCTTCCTAACATTTTTTCTTCTGAAGTACTACAAGACAATAAACTGAAAAGCCTGCTACCAGTAAGGGCATAAATCCCTGTAGGATATAATATTTAGAACATGCCAACTCCCAGGATCACAAGAGATTATTACAGATTGATGTACTGGACAGCTAACAAGCACACGCCTGCAAAATCTGTAACACAACTGTTGCAATGTTCCCACTCTTATCCCCCCCAGCAAGTGGAAAGGGACATTTGGCATTCTGAATAATTGACGTTGGCTTATCATCATCACAGGTCCAAAGAAGGGATGGAGTGGGCATCAGTCATTCTAACCTGATATGACGTCAGGTATAACTGTGGATGCTCCCAAATCCCCCTACAGCATTTAGGATGTTGTTTTTCATTACAATGGGACTCACACAGCTATTTTACTTTAGGGAAAAAATATTATTAACGCTCTCAGGTTTTCTGGATATTAAAGAAAATACCGTGATTCCACTACCATGATTATCGTGTCTGCATGTGACCACAGATAATATCAGAGCATGACAAGGAGCAAGAATATCCAGTGAAATGTCTGTCCTTCAAGACCTCTAAAATAAGCTCTCTCTACTGGGAGATGCCTTATGTACATTTAGTGGTACGGAAGGCCCTCTGCCACCTAAAGCTATATTGCAGTTTGCCTGACACTTCTGCTTCCTCCTGTCATTCTTCCACTTCTCCCTCTTCTCCTCTGATGAATCTCAATTTGTGGAGAATTCTTCTTGGTTTTTGGAGCAGTATGGGAAACAGTTCCATTTTAATGCTCTCCAACTATTTCAATTGATGCACATCGATAGCCCAAGTCAGGAGACAACCGTACATGCTTACATTTTTCATGCAAGATAAATATTTGTCATGATTAACATAGTAGCTTCTTAACTATAATGTATAGTTTTTAAATTCCAATAAGAAAAATTGTCACATGCAGCTACAATGCTGCATTATGCCTGAAAGAAGAACGAACCAATTAGATAAAGTTTAAGAAAGTATGAAGAAATGGGCTTTGCTATAAAAACAGTCTCAAGCTTAATGTACTTCACATCTCCTTTGTGTCTTAGGTTGTAAAATTACTTCAAACAAATTCTACAGGAATTCTTCATGAAAGAGAAAAAAGGAATGGAGCAGCTAAACTATCAAGTCTTTCTATTTCTCTCTTAAGCTAATGATCTTCCTTCTCACTTACAGAAACTATCCTATATGGCTGTTGTGGAAGAACTTGACTGGATTTTAAAGGGAAAGTCAAGAATGCACTGTTTCTTCTTTACTTTTTTGAAGCCTTCCATAGGTATTTTTTCCCCAGATATGTAGGGAAACAGTGGGAATCACTTCTGTTTTTAGATTAAAAGCCACCGTGAAAATAGAACTGAGAAAAACGTTTCAGTGTTCATCAGAGGGGTTTATCTCCATTTCTTAACAGTAGCAGAAAAAAGGCGAAAGACCAGTTTAATTTCAAGATGGCAGCCCAAGTTTTAAGCCGAGCTATTACTGCAAAGTTCATTAACTACAAGTAGTTTTAAGTATGTGTGTTTCAAATCTAAAGAGTGTTCTCCACTGTTTCCTCAGTTTCCTCTCTCTTTGCTCCACGTAGACCTCACAGATACTTGTGTCACCAGATAGAAGAAGTTGGTGTGCTAACACTGAACGCTGTGGTTCCAGTTCCTCAGAAATCAAACTAGGGAAGTATAGATTTTGTTATTGTTGTTGCTGGTCCAGTAGTTTTTAAAGTGGTATCACATTTGCCCAGTAGCAGGAGAGACGTGTATATGCCTCTTTCCTTCCCCATTCCTTAGTCTCACGTCAGATGCACTGCCTTCAGTGAGACTAAGCAATGATTTCAAACCAAAGCAGGATCTAAATACACACTAGGAATACAACATTCAGGTAGCAGGTTTAGTATAGCACATACAATGCGGCAAAGGGTCATGCTAAATTTCTAAATTTCTAGATTTTCCATGTGCAAAGATGAAAAAGTGACTAACAGTCAAAACCAGTCCCATATTTAGACCACAGGGAACAAGACATGTTCACAAATCATTCGCAGTCAGACTGCAAATCTTCAGCCACTTCTTTCACTACGCTCCTCCCATGCACCCCCAATACTTTGAGATTCAGAGAGGATATTCCATGTCATGTTTTATTGCCGTTCATGCCAAAGGGATTTCATTACTATCTTCAAAAGATAGGGAAACAAGCTTCTAACTTTCATTTTACAATTAATATTCAACCCTGGAGATCACCATGCCACTGAGCAGCTTCCTAGTAGGAAGCTATTTTACAGCTCTTGGTTTGAAGATCAAGAGGTGCCCCAGATCACGTTCCATCTCTAGTCTTCTCTGTTATTCAGAATAGGTCCTCTCACTCTTTCCTTCAACACCTTTCTTGATTACTCATTGATAAATCTATCTAAAATCAAATTCACACTTGGAAAAACTACTTTCTAGGTTCATATATCAACAGTTTTGTTTGCTGACTCCTCCTTCTCTTTCCAGAAACATAATTGCTCCATTAGGCAAACTCAACCAATAAGGAATGCTTCTTCTACCACTGTAGTCATAAAACATCTGAAACATGCATGATGCATATATGTGATGGGAATACTCAACACGTATTTCTTTTTATTAAATACATAGCTTACCCTTCTGTCCGTGACGACTGCTAAATTTATCTCCAATTTCTGGGCGCCTCGTTTGCCTCAATAACATTTTGATCAAGAAAGCATCCTCTGCATTTGATGAAATCATTACTTTTTCAATATAAGAATCAGTAGCACCTTTATAGCTAGCAAAAGAAGACAGAACATGAATTTTACATTTACGAACAAAATCAGTTAAAAACAAGTACCTGTTTATTGTTAATTTTCTGTCTGAGATGCAGCCTTAATGGAGCCAGGATTATAACTGAAGAAAGGAGCTTAAGAAATATTCTAAAATAATTTAAGAACAAAATGAAGGCACAATATCATGTACTGGTATAGAAACGAAGGATGGGCAGAACACAGTATGGGATACAGAAAGAGAAGAACTTTGCAGGAATCACCTGAGTTTATGCAGCAGGAGATGCAGAAATTAAAAAGATAAATGCAGAATGAGGTTATATCAGATTTCAGTATCTTATGTAGGAGATTGTTTTGTCTGTTGATCCAGTAGCTGAGATGGTTGAACTATGACACCTAAACTTAGAGCCCTGTATGCATGTCTCTATCTCTTGATAATTATCTTGTTATATCACTTCTTTATTAGTATTTCGTAGGAATAAATTTTCAGCTTCCTATTGGTTCTGAATCACAGAGAAGTGCAGCATGGCTCTATCTGCCTTTCTGACCTGGACACCAATTTTTGCCTTGCTCTCCAGTAATTTATCAACATGCCAAAGCTACTGCCGACTAAATAGTGAAAAACTTTTCATGCTTCCTAATTTATGTATTTTACTTCAAAGTTTTCATCTCAGAATTCTTCTGATCTTTCAGGACACTGAGGGAAAAAAAATCTTTTTAATTGTCCTTTCCTATTCATTTGGTGCTTTCATAAAGAACATCTGCTGGAGTGCCCAGAGCAAGCTGACCATCGGTCACCATCAGCCTCTGAGATAGGAAGGCCTCCATCTTCTGGACTCCTACCTGGAAAAATGAGAGCTAAGCAGCAGTCAGTGTTTTCTGAGAGCCTCCATGGAGGAGATGCACTCCCTCACTGAGCATACATGTGTTCTCTGCCCTCCCACTTGTTCTGCTTCTCTCCTGTTTCTCCATTGCTTAAGCTATGTATGACACCACTCCTTGCCCACAGTGTCATCACTTCTTTCTTGGATTCTCCTGGGAAACTCAATGATTCCTCTCTATACACATACATTCAGGAGAGTTCCTTGTACAGTGGGACCTTTCCTCTATGCTACCTTCCCCAGGTAGAAAGTCAAGATGCAACATACGTTACTGGCACGTCTTTGTACTGTGGTTGCTGTGGCACACTGCTTCCTTCCAGAGGTGTCTGGGTCACTGTTGGCATTGATTTGTTCACAAGGACTTGTTTATTTTCTACTTTTTCACCTACATCAAAGAGAAAATAAAATAAAATGTATCTGGCTACCTATATTAGAAATATATTCAAAGCTACAGAATAAGGAGTACTGGAAAACAAACTGTTAGGAACACATCCAGGAAGTAGGCCATGTTATATTATTGAATATCGCATGGTTAGGGAATCATCAAACCAGCTTTTTTGGCAATCAGAACAGTTGTGTGTCGAGGGCACTTTGAGAAGATCTATCGAACATAGCCAAGGTCTAAATATAAATATGAAAAGGCATCTAAGGTCATTTACCATAAGGAGAATATTAACAAGCAACACTGTAATTAATTTTAGAAATTTCCACCTAAATGTCTGGACATTACATAACATCCACGAGTTGTGCAAGAGCACTTTTAGTCTCTCTTTCCCTGCCCAATTGCATTTCCCATCATATTTGTTTTCCTCTCTCCCTCAAAATATATTTTTGAGGTGTTAAAATGACAAAGCCTTACCTCCTCAGGGAGCTGCATTAGCTGACAATGCACTAGGAGGTTTTAATAATGAAAAATAATATAAAATCTCTCCTTAAAAGTCAACAACAAAAAATCATGATGAATGGAACCAGTAAAAAACTACAATATTAAAAGTCTGCCATTTTGGGGATGTAAGAGGAGTATTAGTACTTCATAACAGTGAATCAATGTAAAGGTTAGGACTTATAGTATAAATTTTCTACTTAAGCACCTCTCTTTCCCATGCCCTCCCATCAAAAAAACAACCAACATACCCACAATATCAGGCACCACGTTGCCTTCACAGGCTAACACTTAAACATTTTCCTCTATAATATTGTCCACTACAAGAAAAAAAATACGCTAAGAACAAAACAAAGCACACAAGAAACAGTAACAGAACGTTCATGTCTACTTCAGATCCAGTAGGTGCTAGGCCTAAACGTGCAGTCTGACATACCAGGAGAGCAGATACCATCAGCATCTAAGATTTCATGGCGCCAGATTGGTTTGCGAGTAGCTGCATCCAACATCGGGCCCATCACTTTGTCAAATGTCTGATTTGTGTAACGCTTCAGTGTACACTTGGCATTCTTATACACGAGACACCTTCCAAAACCTAAAACGTGTTCAAAAATTCTTCACAACATGTTATCAGAACAAAAAAAATAAGAATGCTGAAACACGTGCTAAGCTATGAAATGATGTATTTTTAAGTTAGATTATTCATCATTGTGAATACACGTACTTGCCACTGCACAAAGGCACAATTTAAAATCAGATCATGTATGCTATCACTTCTTAAACACAGGACTGCACACCAATTTTGAAGTTCTGTCAACCCCTCCTATAGCTCTGTACACACACACACACACACACACACACCATTTTTCTTATCTTTGGTGGTCCACACATAGACATACCATAGGAGGAGATGTTTAAACAGGATGAGAACAGCCCCTCTTCCTTTCGGAGGTTCTAAAGGACCCAAACTTTCACTCATCCTTGTAGCTAACAAAGCCTAGCTTACCAGGAAAGTGATTAGTGGGCGTTTCATACAATCATTCCATTTTCTCCCAGTTCCAAGAAGTATGAATTGCATATGACTTACATGTACACATACACATACATACACGTGTATATGAATACAATTACATGTAGAGTTAGCTCATTTAGATGAGAGAAGCAGCACCTTTGGAAACTTCTCTCTAGGTGCAGCAACTAGCCATACTACAAAACTTCCATCACGCTTAGAGTTACAGACAGCCTAGAGTGGAGCTTTCTAACAATCCTACATTATTTTAGTCCATTTGAAAGATGGCTGTGGCCACATACAGTACATCTATATTGTTCGATTATGTCAAGTAACTCCTGACAGGCACCACAGCTCGCCCTGTAAATGCTACCAGTCTACCAGAAAAGAAAACATTCCCTTTTAAATCATGCCTGTTGTTGTTTTAGAAAAGGAGGCATAAATTAAATGCATCAGACATTAATGCCAAAGATACATGTCTAGGAATACTATTATTGCTGCCTAGCAACAGGGAGGAAGGGTGTATGGGGGGGAATAAAGTCATAGAAGAAACTGATTTTGGCCACCCAAAAATAAACCAATTTGATCACACTGCATTACGTCTCCTATCAAGGGAATTTATTGAGGAGAGAGAGAAGAGAAGAGACACCAAGTTTTCAGGGAACTCTGCTCTATCCCCCAGCAGCATTAACATAAAGCTCTGAGATCTGTGGAGAGGATGACACAGGCCAGAATAGCACAAATACAGGTTTCATTTTGTTAGCTTCTATTTGGTGCATTGAAATATTGAAATATTTGGTACATTGAAAGACACATGCAGTGCATTGGTTTTACTTTTCTGTTTTTAAAGAAAGAAGAAATTAACTTCTCTCGGAATAAATACTATTTTGTTTTAGCCAATACTATTAATTTTCCTCAGAAAACAAGCAATACTGTTACAGTGCCCTCAGAGCACCAAGATCACAGCACACAAAACACTACACGTTACACACACTTTCTGAATACATTCAAAAATCTGTTTTTATCTATTGCTTTCATTACTGACAAAAATTATGAGACCTGTGTCAGCACTGATGAAAGTCTCAGGCAGCCATCTAGAAAGCAAGTATCACACACATTTTATACAATACCTTTTTTTTTTTTGGCAAGCTAAATATTTCCCAAGAGACCATTTCTCCTTTTTTACTTGAAGTCAAAAGTTGTCATAGATTCTTATAATACTCACACTCAAGAGTTTATTCACATGTTGGCAACTTCACCCAACTATTACAACCATGGAATTACAGACACTGTACATGCAGGAAACAAAAGCACCCAAAGTGGTTTTGAAAACTGTTCATAACTGTTTGTAAGAGCAATAAAATATAATATATGATAACACCGTGAGACACCAAGGTTATTAAAGTATGTATTGCAGCACACAGTGGAGAACTGGGAAAGAATTGGTGGTTCTTACCTCTGTCCAGAGATGCTTTGTTTAGGACAAGAGCATCTTCAATATCGTAACCACTGTAGCTCATGACAGCAACTGTGGCATTCTGTCCAGCAGGCAGTTTCTCAAAATCTATCAGTTCAATTGTTTTTGTTTTTACCATTGGCTTTTGAGGATAGGCAAGAAGATACATAAGAGTATCTATCCTGTTTCTTTGATTGTATCCAATAGTACCTGTACATAAAAGAAAAACAACAGTCTGAAGGTCAGTGGGTTTCCTAGAAAAAAGCATTTCTTAGCAAAAAATTACCAACATGCATAGAAACTAAACTGACAAACTAAGAAATTTCATACAGTGAGATGAATTCCTCATGAAAAAAGTAAAAAAATCATACAAGAGACTGAAGCAAAACAACTTCACATTATTATACTCAGATAAACCCCCAAGAGGTTTCTTATTTTAAACTTACAGAAAGATTTTATTTTTTTTTTAGGGAAGACCTAAGCATCAAGGCAAAAAGAACAACAAAAGAAATCAAACTATTGTCTCCCATGACTGAATGCAAATAAGATTCTTTTAAAACACTGAATTACAGTACAAGTATTAAGTTTGTTGTTACTGTTGCAATAGCCACAGAATTTTTTAAGAGCTGAAACTGTGATCCAAAAATCATATCAGAACCAATAGAAGGACTCCCATTGTGTTCAAGGGGAACTCTGGATCGATCTCTGTCTCTTCTACTTTGTATTTTCTTCCTTTTTCCGGGCAATAATTAGTTTACCAGCAGCCTGTGATACAGTGTCACAAAGCACAAACAAAGCATACAGCTAGCAGCAGCCAAGACTGATTTACTTTTGGAATTAGAGACGCCTTTGCTAGAAAGACTACTGTAGAAGTTCACCCACAATACATTTGTCTTTTTACATGAAATTAATTTTAAATTTACAGTTCAGAATTCAATCCTTTGTATAGACCTCCCAGCTTGAGACTGAAATTTTTGGCCCTGTCCCATCAGACTGCCAGAGTGTCTCCTGAAATCTGAGGAAAAAATAATTAACACCCAGCAGGGAAACATAAACTGTTGTGTAGCAGAACAAAAGTTAAGGCAATCGTATGTTATTAGTTTGCTGTACCAGGACTATGCTATGTCTCTAAGCAATTAAGAAATTATAGCCTGAAAAGCTGAAGTACTAAATATTCTGCAGTACATGTGCTAAAGAACGAAGTCTTTCAGAACCTTTCCCATTTCTCCTGCAATTTCAAAGAGTGGCTTTTTTCAAAGAAAGGTCAAAGCAGCCTAACTATAATGAAGACTTCACATGGCCAGCATATAACATAGCTGAACGCAAAGCTGCTCCTAAGGGCTTTATATGTTATATGCACATACTTGCAATTTCCATTTGTCTGCATTTAAATAAAACATCTAGAATATCAATGATTTAAATGCAGGCAGCATCATGGGCAGTTCCAAAGGCCTACTGGGCTGCTTACTGCTAGGCTCACTGTTCTGAACCACCATTCTCAGGGATGAGAACAGGGAGATACCTCAACAAATAATGTCAAAAACAAACATCTTACTAACCATCTGGCAGACCTAGACTTTTCTTTGTTCGGGGAAGTAAACCTGAAGCCACAAGCACAATGTTCTTAAACACCTGGGACAATTTAGAATGCTTGACAGGCTTTACCCATCCCTTGTTTCTGAACAGCTGCTTTCCTGTCTTTTTCTTAGAGGAAGAAATAGTTCACCCCAGAGCAGTATTTTCTGCACACAGCAAGAAGCAAGCTCACAGGGCCTGGAATTTCCAACACTGAAGACTCTCCCAGTAATCCCTGAATAAGGCTCTACAACCTGAATGCTCTCTTACTTTTGATATTACTCTAGCCTAAGAACAAGACAATGTTTTCATTTCTACTGCCAAACAAAATGGAGCTTTAGACCACTCTTTTTCTTGGCACCTAGAATGAATAATGTGTGCCTTCAGGACAGGCTATCTGCTGCACAGCTCATCTTAGAAGTTTTAGACAGGTGTATTTCCTTGTTGTTGAGAGAAATATTCTCCTGAGTATGCCACCATCTTTCTCAACTTTCTCTTCTGAAATGCTTGCAATTTTTTTCTCCTCGGGCGTGTCAGATCTTAGCTAAATTTCTTCTTTTATACTCTAGGAACAATCTGAGTAATAGATGACACACTCAGATATTTCAGGTAATTCAAATTCAAATTCTATCTATGCCAGAGTAACAATGCTTCATGTGTTTCAAAGGTTCAGCTGTTACTGCTTATCTCGGACCAGAACTGACATTACTGAGATTTTGAGCCTCAGTAATAAAGTATTCAGGTAATTTTTAGAGCTGAGTGTTGTAGCATATCGAATGGAAAATGTACATGTAGACCAAGTAGTGGATATCCTAGCAGGAAAGAAATGTTAGTAGAGAATGATTCAAGAACACAAGTAAAATGATCAAACACCTGAGGGATGGGATGCCACTCAGAGGGACCTACACAGGCTTGAGCAGTGGGTCCAGGTGAACCTCATGAGGTTCAACAAATGCAAACATAAGGACTTGCACCTGGCCCTCAACCCAGGTGCAACCCCCCACTATCAATATAAGGATGGGGGATGAAAGGATTAAGCACAGCCCTTCCAAAAAAGACTCGGGGTGCTGGTCAATGGCAAACTGGACAGGAACCAGCAATGTGTCCTCACAGCTCAGAAACCCATCTGTATCCTGGGCACATCAAAAGAAGTGTGGCCAACAGTACAAGGGATGTGATCTTGCCCTTCTGCTCTGCACTGGTGAAGCCTCACTAGGAGCACTGTGTCCAGGTGTGAAGTCTTCAGTACAGGAGAGACAAGGACCTGTAGGAGCACATCCAGAGGAGGGCCACAAAAGTGATCAAAGGGATAGAACATACAGCCAGCTAGAATACACATTTATCCAATCCCCTGGTGTATTATTTATAGCAAGATTAAATTTAACAACCAAAATTAACATAAATACAGAAATTAATCTACTTGAGATAGGAGCACAAAGGGATATATTACTGCACAAGTCAAGAGAGGAACTTCCATACTTCTGTACTTCCCTTAGTTTCACCATGGATTTTCTATTATTCTGTCCTTCATATGAGCACAAACCAACAGAGAAAGGCTGCAGTGAACCCTGTAGAGAAGCTCCACCTCAGCTCACAGATTTTCTTTCACATTACATGTGTTGATTGATCTGGACATTCAGGATCTGAAATATTCTTCTCAAGGTAGAAAGATTAAGAAGTTGGTCTCAAAGATTATGGGGGAAATCTGGCTTGTTACTGCCTCAACAGGTGCCTGGTGCCAGCTCCAGACAAGGGCTGCCTCACAGGGGGCCAAGTGCTGCAGAACTGGGTCTGGCCACAAAGCAGCAAGCCCAGAAGAACAGCACAAGCTGGTGTTGCTTTGTTGGCTTAGTTCCCTGCCTACAGGCCGGCCATACACAACCTGGGAGCACTTCAGCTCTCAGCCCACCGACTGAAGTTGCATCAATGTTCTTGCTCACTCCCCAAAACTGCCCTCAAATATTCTCTGTTCTTTCACAGGCTGGAGCTACAACTGACATGCAGAGCCTTCCCTCCTTGCTCAGACTCGTGTTAAACACTTGGGTTGGAACCACCACACACAGCTTTGTGGACTTGCAAAGCCACCCTCACAGATAGGCCTGTGCAATACAGTGGACTGCTGGCAGGACTATGGGTGTTTTCATTTCTTACATTAGGTTTTTGTGTAACGCTTCTCAGTAACAGAGGTACAGCATATAAAACAGACCCATTTCCTGCAAGTTGAAGTGACTGAAAAGCTGCATTTAAAATCACACCTCTAGTCTTAGGTGCCTTTGATCATTTTAAACATTACTGTACCAACACATGGAATTCGAACAGTACAGATTCTTGTATTTTAGTCCTAAATATTCCTCAGATTTTATGCTTCTGCTGTTACTTCTGCACTCAAATGTCAGCCTTCCACTGAGGCCCTTGCAGCTGCTCCTGTATTTGCCAGCACAACTTCCCCTCGGTCTCACAGCACAACTGACAGTGCAGTACAGCACACGGTACATCGTCTATGACAAAACAAAGAGATTTCATTTCAATATCATCTCACTGAAATCCACTTTGCTCACTACACCGAGCGCAGCCCCAGTCCTCCAACAAAATGACCCACTCAGAAAGAGAGATATTTTTCCATATGTTTTAGACGGTCGTATTTTAACACCTAACACTCATCAAGGATGCTGGATTGCAGACCTCACTGCAACCTGACGGACACCCTCCCTTTATCTGTGCTTTCACATCTTTCTCTACAGCTGATATTTCTAAAAAGGGCTGACCAAGCACACAGGGCCCTCCTTCTGAACACGGGGCCCCCGCTGTGCTCCCCAGTTTCGGACAGACAGAAGTGACACCGTGCACTTGGACGTGTCTCCACATGGCAACATGGACCTTGGAGCCAGTCTGCAATTGTGAGATGGGGAAAGAAAGAAGGGTGGAGAACCGCAGAAAAGCTTGGGGTTTGTAGTGCAGCATTACATGCCCTCGTAAGTAAAGTCTGAACTACGTGTAACCTGTTTCAGGATTATCCTTTAGATCTACAGCTGTATAGAAAAAACAGTTTCTGCCCCTACATATTACCACTGAGGGTGTTTTTTTTAGAAAGCACTAATTAAAGAAAAGTTTGGGTGCTTGCAGATACTTCAGGCAGAGCAAAACAAAGCTCAGGTCACGTGCCAACATTTAAAATGTACTTTTATCTAGCTGCTTATTCTTAAAGTCAGGTGTTTTGTCATAACAAACTGAAACAAAAGCTTTTTTTATTGCTCAAGATATTCAATGGCTTTTGTGTTCCTAGCGTCAGCAGAAACGTCAGAGGATTGTATCCAAGGAGCTAAATGTGCAAGACCTGGGGTCAAAGCAGCTGAATACACCAACCTCAGAAAACACAGACAATGAATTGCAAATGACACTCAAAACAAAACGGGGAAAAAAACCTTCACACAGAAAACTACAAAAGAACTCCACAGATACTGAATTGGCTTTCTGTACACACTGATCCTGCTTAACTGTGTGTGGTAACTAACCAAACCTTCTGAGACTAATAGTCATAAAATAGAGACTCGGGGGTGGGAGGAAAGATAATGGGATGGGGGAGAACCGTAAGAAAAAAGATTGCATCGCCCTTCTCTCTTTTTTAAATTTTATTTAAAGGGGATAACACGCATCTGCTTCTATTTTCTGCTATTTTGGTGGCTGACCACGACAGTTCAGCATCAGGCAGTTAGTATGCTACTATTTCTGCTGGAAAAGGCTCACTAAAGGTGCTGAGGTTCAGATGCACAGCATTAACAGGAGTGGTGTGCTTTTTTTCTACAGTAACTCAGCTTCCAGGGGACCATCAATACAAGCACATGTACACCACCAGTCTGAGTGCAGCTGTCTGAGCTGATGCACTGCAGCTCAGATTTTTGTCAGCACTCACTCTGGTTTGATCACAGGCTGTATGACTGCAATGCTTTAATGCTAGCTTAGCTATGTAAGAATGGAAGAATGAGGACTTACTGTGTGTTAATTGCTCACCACTGCATACTTAGAAAATGGTTTGGTTTTTCTTTAATGATCAGCTGGTACATTTGTAAAAAGAATAATTAACTGATCATAAATTAATTTTGTTTCAATCATTTTTTTGGGAAGTCATTATTATATTGCATTCTTCATTTAAAAAGGGAAAAAAAAAGAGCCCCGAATCTAAACTGCTGCTGTGGGAAGTGGGCAAGTAACTAAGTGTGCTCTTTAGTAATTTGCTCACTGTGTTTCTATAATGTCAGTCTAACTTTTCATTTAAAAGACAACTGCTCAGCTACTGAGGAAAAGTCTCTTCTCTATGCACTGTCTCTCTTTGTGAGAATGCTTTATTTATTTATTTATTTATTTTTTGTCTGGAATCTCTTATCTCTTTTTGTCTGGAAACTCATAGCACATTGCAGCATAAAGAGAAAGGAAAACCTGACTGCCAATCCTTCCGTTATGTTGAAAACTTCAAAGTCATTATGATTTACCCCCCCAAAAAAAACAAAAAACAAAAAAACAGCAATAGTGCCCCCCCATTTTCTCCAAATGTAATTATTAAGACTTACAGATATGGTCTCCATTCAGCGTAACTGCTTTTTTTTTCTTTTATTTTTTCAAACTTTTTAGAAGTAACTTTTCCTTACTTCATCTCAGCAAGGAAGTATTCCCTTCCTAGAGAAACATTAATGTTGAGCAGGAAAGAATATCTCTGTTTTGTAACTTTCTCTACACAGCCTCAAAAACTACATAATATTCCAAAGTGGAGTAAAAATCATATAATCTTACCCATTGCTTGTTTCCCCATGGCACACTGGTAAGTGTTTCGTGGGGACTGGTTGTGGTGAGGATATGGAATCAGACCGGCACAGACACCAAGCAGTGTGAAAGGCTCAATCTCCAAATGTGTTGTATCCCTTAAAAAAAAAAGGGTACCAGTTACAGAAGGCTTGTGAACAAACATATAAATATCAGTTATTTAATTTAATAGTATCTCATAACTCTTTATTTCAGTTTTGCTAAGGAAAATGCAAGCCAGTAAGACTTCAAAATATGGATTCAATGTGGGATTTTTTTTTTAGCTTTTTTTTTTTCTTCCTAATTTTAACTGTTTCCACATGAAATGAATTAAAGGAAAATAAAGTTTCATCAAGGAGAGAAAAAGCCTCTAGGTAACAACAACCTGAGGGAGCTCAGCAAGACAATAAAACATCAGCTTATACAGCAAGTCCCAAAAATGCCTTAAGGAATGTCATCTCATATAACAAGAGTCCTCCGCATCAAGTTACCATTCTAGAGATCTAAAAATCTACAGGGGATGTGGAAGAAGGAGAAGCAAGACAGATTCAGGTATTGAAGAAAATCCCAAAGCGTAGTTTTAGTTTTCCAAGATCAGTTATATAATATCAGTTAGAAAGAAAACATCTGTTTCCAAACCAGATCCAGCACCATGGATGATACGCCATAATAAAATACTACTTGAAAAGCTCTGCAAATATTTTGATATTAATTACGTTGCTATATGGCACAACTGATGAGGAATAAAAAGACAGGGACAAGGCGTACAAAGGCTGAGAAATAAGAAAAAATCCATTCTACCTGGCTTGAGCTTAAGAAATTCCATGCACAATGAAGACAATTAAATCAATGTGTGCGAGGATGCACACAGAGCGACTAACAACTGAGGATGCAGTATACAATAAAGCTTGGTTGAAGCAGGCGTGTTTTTTAAAATCAACATAAGCAACTAGGAAATGCTTCATTTTAAAATAAAGATAATTATAACTAAACCTGCCCAAGGCATATCTTTCAAGAGCACAGCAGATGTATAGGTATACATTGCTTGTCTCACACATCTAAATCCACTGCACTCTGCAAATCTCATGTTTAATATCTGACTTATCTGGAAAGTCTCTTGGAAATTTTTTTTAATTGAAAACATGAATTTTATCACTTAACTTTAAGACCCTGCAAATGAAACAACTGGAAAAATATTTGTTATAACGACATTATAAAGGGGTAAAGCACTACAAGCTCAAGAAGGCTGAGGCACAACCTGGTAGTGCACACTGAAGAGAAAGACTAGCAGGAACTTACAGAAACAACACACAAACCACTGGAAAGTTGAATCTGAAAGAACTGGGAACCCTAAGAACCAAGCCTAGTGAAAACACCTGACAATCCCAGGCACCTCTATGAATCACAAATCTGTTTCAGCAGCCTAAAAATCACCTGCTGGTCAGAGGGTAGATGCTATTTTTCTCAGTTTATTATAAACGTTTATTGAAGCCTACCTTAAAAAACACAAATAATAGAATGCCAATTGCAGTCAAGGAATTGTAAAGTAGTCTTAAGAGCCAGCAGTTAACTTCAAGCACGGACTGCTCTCCCATTCTGTGCAACTTCACAGAACTAACAGCTTTTCACACAATAAAACAAGAGGTTTAAGAACCTACTGATGAGGAAGTTACCAAATTTCTCGAGAGGGTACTAATGCATGGATTTACATACAGATTTTCAGATAGCGTAAAGTTCAGCACAAATATTTTTCTATGGAGGTCAACCTCATTTCATCCACAGAAGATGCTAGATCCAAGGATGCATTTCATAATAATTTAAAGTTTAGAAGAGTTCAATTTCTGCAAGCCAAAATGCCTCTGCCAGAAATGGAACCAAGAAAGGAAGGCAAACTTGTCAGCTTGAAAATAAGAGTTACAAACGGGTAAGGAAGAAATTGAACACGCTAAATAGAAAAAAAACCTTAATTGGATTGGAAAGGCAAAGAGAAGATACCGTAACTAAAAGAAGCCTCCATTACAAAAGCAGGAATGTTAATGGGATACTTCACAATAGTGGATTGTATCCGTTGTATTATCAGAACAAGTTGTACCAACATAGTTGTACCATTTAAAATGCAAGATGATGTTGGGGGCAGGGGGTACTCAAGATGTAGGGAATATTATTACTAAAACCAAGGAGCAACGTGCCTGTATGGTGCATGCTTAGATACTTATGACCCTATTAATTACAAGGAATTATGCTAAACTCAAAGCAAGTTGATGGACAAGAATCTTCCAAACTTTTGGCAGCTATCTTGGAGTCATTTCTTCACACTCTCCATTGGAAGCTCACAGGCTCCTCCTATTTTTGAGTAATCTATAATTTCAGATGATATGTTCCCATTAACCTTCCTAAATGAGTCAGCTGTAGGATAACTTAAATTTTTTAGCTCTGACAGTGTAAGGAGGTTGCTTAATTTTGGCACAGAAGACAGCAGTTGTATGTACTCTTCTTTGCTCATGTATTCAGAAGCCAGACAAGAGCATGCAAGAGTAATTTCTTAAAGTGATGAAGTCTTCCAAGGCCTGGGCATGAGCAATGCAACTTAATTAGCAGAGTTAATGCATTTCAACTGGCAAAGGGTACAGACAATTGAAGGTCTCATCCAGATCCACTGAAATCAATGATGTATTTCTACTAGCCTCCATGAGCACTTGACAAGGACAGAACAGTTAGAAAACGCATTTTCTGCATAAACCTACTGATCAAATATTTCATGGAAGTAACCAATATCCTCCTATGTGTAGCCTTACTTGACAGAATGTTGTCAGAGCAATGCTGAAGTAGAAAGATATGAGGACTTAAAAATTTTAAAGAAACGTTCCTTTTATATGGAGTTTCAAATCACACTCACAAACTAGAGGGTCCTTTACCTATGCAGAAAACACACACACCCCAAAAAATAATCAGTGAATCTTTTTAAACAAAAACTACGTGCCAGGAATGGGCTTTAACATATGGTAAAGATACTTAGAATGATACAGACATTTTTATTGGGGCCTATTGTACATCAAAAAGTCAAATGGAATGTCTCATCCTGACACTTCAGGCATTTAATGTAACCCAGTTGTCTAGTATCCCCATATATTAAGAACAAAGAAACTTTTCCAAAGGACAATCACAAAATCTTAATATAATTGTTTAACAAATGGAACCATTTCCCTTCTGGCTTCCTAATGTATAAAACTATTTATGATGAGCAGCTCAATGATTAAAAAAAAACAAACAAACTAAACTACCTCCAGAGAAATGAATTATGTACCCTTAAATATTCCATATTATGGAGAATTAGAAGCTGGGGTAGATCTCCCAAAAAAGACAAAAGGTAAACCACATTTTGTAACTATCCCACAGATAATTAAGGATGTCTGGAAACTGATACCTTCTATCTGGGGTTGTTTTAATCATTAGCAAAGAAGCAGTATACATGTATAAAAATAATAACATAATATTCTTGCATTTTGGAGAATCACTCTATGAAATTTTTTTATACATCAGTGTTTAGTCTGAATGCATACTTACTTATTAATTGTATGTTCATACAGTGCAATATTGCAGTCATTTTCTTCATTCACATCCAAATATTCAACAAGGCCTTCATGCAAGAAATCTTCAAAATTCCTGTTGTTAAATTAAAAAATTACATTGGAAGTATGGTCTTTTCTTATGTTTCTGCAAAAACTGAATTACAGAATGCCTATATTGAAAGAGTGTAACGTGTAGAATACAATCTAGAGAATTCATTTATATTAAACCTCTGCATTTTTAGTATTCAAAGAAAACTGCATCTTCAAGCAATCAATTCCCTTATTTTGCTGCTTCACAAAGACTGACTGACCAGTGATACTTACTTGAACAATAAAGTAAAATATCCTGAATGTATTCATCATCACCATGATATCAGCAAAGCATAAACACTTCATTTTCAATCAAGAGGAAGATGGAAATCTCCCTGGAACTTCCACTTGTGGGAAAAGGAAACTCTGAGAGATTTTATTCTGTGTAATTGACAAATTTCATACCACAAAAAAAAAAAAAAAAAAAGAAAAAAGAAAAACACCAAGACAACTACACTTAAATTGACTCTGAAACAGAAAGCCTTCAAAACACTGATTTATACACATAACTTATATGTGCAAATGTATAGAAGAACACACTCCTCTTAATGGCTAACCAACACTGTAAAACGATGGACTGTCTAAATAATTTCCACATAGTATTTACAAAAAGATGTAAAGATTATGAAAATAGTATGCTTGAGCTGAGTACCTGTAACCCTGAGCCAGTTCTTCCATATGCTTGTTTGTTACTGCAGGTTTTTGCTTCTTTACAATTATATAGGGTCTACAAGTAAAAAGAAAAGAAAGGATTATAATAGCAAATACTTGGGTAACAGTTTGTACTTTCAGGACACTGCAGCCATATCTCCCATTTTATAAACTGATACAGCCAAATAGACACAACCAGCAATTATTCAGACCTTGGTTTGAAACACAGGTGTCCTGAACTGGCTCTTTGTCCTTTCAGTAGCAAAAAATTGCACCAGAAAAAAAATCAGATTTGAATTTTGACAAAGCCATCTTTTTTCTCCTCTAAACCTTTAAACTAACATTTTCTAAGTTTCACCTACACATTTTGTCAATGGCTTTAAGAGATTTAAACTTTATTCCACAAAGCTAAGAATAGCATTAAGTTCTACAGATATTTCAGGGACTCCATGCAAAAGAGAGTCATCAGTTTGTGCTGAAATGCCCACATGCAGAATGTATTTTGCTGATACTTAGAAAGTGCTGGCATTTACTATTGGTTACTTTACATGAATCCATAAATTTCAACCACACATGGGCTTCTGAAGGCTTCCTTATTGCAAGGAAACCCTAGCACAAAGGATGGCACGCAAGAATGAAACATCAAGGGCTGTTGCTATTTGGACAAGTTGCTCTTAAAAAGAGCAGCAAATAGCTACAAGATACTTGTGGAGTCCACTCTGAAGTCTAAATAACTGTTTGAAGACTAAGGAGCACTTTTAAATGGTTAATAAGGGGATCTGAACAATTACCGGGTGGGGAATGTCACAAAGCAATTTGGTTAATTCCTGGAAATACACACAATTTCACTTCTCACTCTTAAAAAAGAAAAGAAAGGAAGGAAATAAAAAAAAACCCACATCAAATCAGAACTTTTTCAAACCTGGATTAGCCTAACTGGTAAGGTGATTTCTGTGCTAATGGAATATGGCCGTACCACTGCATGTCTTGAGCGGGTGTGATTAGCTGATATTTACGAGTACTACTTCTGGGTCTTTACCATGCCTTACACAGCATTCAGTATGCTCTGAATTTCAATTAACAAATAAGGTGGAATGCCAACTGTAACTAACGTATGCACATAGTTCTTATGTCATTCTGCTCCCAATCTCTTTTTTGTTCTGTTACACCTTGTTCTTTAACCAATCAATTCCTTTTTGCTTGCCTTTGTGACATGACTGTTATCAAGGCACTCTCTGTGCAATAAGGAGTGTAAGCACTCAAGGCAGAGACCTTCCTTACAGATTTAATGAATTCCCTGCCTAGATAACAGCAAGCAGTGAACTAAACCAAAACTTTGAGACTTTCCTTTTACAACAGAGAGCACATGCAAGCCTGAGGAAGCTTTGTACCAGAAATAAGGGCTCTTGAAGGCAAAGGGTAGCCTCTCATTCTACAAAGTGGTATCATGTCCAAGAGGTGGCTGCTTGTACCTTGTTTAAGTACTCTGATAACTTAAAAAAAAGAAGTGAAGAAACAATCCAAGGAAATGGACTATCACTGCAGTTGCCAACTAAGTTGATTTCTCCTTCCTCCTTTTTTAAGAAGCTGGAAGCAATATTTTGCTCTAACTCCTTTATAGAGATAAAACTAATCTACTCAGGCTTTTTTTGGGAAGTTGATTGACTACATAATCAGACTACATAATGTCTTGCCTACCTATCTGCTTTGAATGAGGGTTATTTAAGGAGAAAATAAATGCTCAAATTCCCCTGAATTTGAAAACAGTTTTTATGTTTAAATCTGTAGTTCCTTCACCCAGTGTACTTACAGTGCACAGAACAGTGCTTACTAGATAATTCTGATAGGATGCTTACCTGCACAATCTCCCTCCATCAGAGGAAATGTAGACACATCTGTCAGAAAGATTTGTAGAGATGGAAACAAATTCATTGATATAACCAGCTCGTCGCATTATCCGAAACGTGTTGACTAGCTTTTGATGATCACGTATGACACCAAGGATGTTACCTATTCAGAAAGAGAACAAGTTCATGGCCCACTCAATATAAGCAGAGCTTTGGATGTGCAAACTCTGATCGTGTCTAACATGTACAGAAGTACTTCCCACTTCTTGCAATTAGTATACATATTTAAAATACATATCTAAGTATTCTGATGCATGATGAGCAAAGAAGACTAAAATTCATTTTTAAAGAGTCATCTAACCAAGTTTATCTTAACATATGGAACACAACTTAGTACAGTGTCATATTAAACAAAACACAGGGAGACAGCCTGATATAAATGTAGGAATATGCACTTGAAAGACTTTCTGTCCTCTTACATCACATACTTTAATTTGAAACAAATCAGACAACCACAAGGCTGGATTCTTCTAGAATTAAAACAAGAAACTAATTATATTGATCAGTTTTGCTTCATTAAGTATGAGATCATCTACATTTTGGAACATAAGTGATCTTGCTCCATACTACAAATGGAGTGTCTGAAGGAAGAATCCAATCCTTCTGCTCGGCACTTCCCTTTAGACCATAAAGCGAAACAGGAGGAGTGCATGTGGTTTCACTGAACCTTATCTTTAACATATTGCTAAAGAAAAGCAGAGCTAAGGAATGCAGTGTAGTCAAGTGTTTCTTTCATGTAACTGAGAAGAATAACTGCTGTTTAATTTGAAGGTAAATGGAGAACTTACGGTGACAGACCTTAAATACTAATCCCTGAAGTGGATGCTGCTGACAAAATCATAGTTGTAGTTTTTAACATGTCACTATTTTGAAATCTAATATTATAGTAACTGCTGATTAGAAATACTGAAAGATCAGCTGCAAAAGGAACTTAAGCGTGCAGAAGCAAAGCACATGTGCCAAATCATTCTTCTAACAAAGGAAAGCAATGCAGCTTGTTTTAAGTCTCATTTTTTATAATCATTCACAAAGCAAGTTGTTGCTTAAAAGGCAGTTTTAAAGAGAACAGCATTGCTAAATATTGCAAACAGTAAATGCTGGCTTCCTGTTTTTAAACACAGTTGCATGAATAGATACAAAAATATATGAAGATTGCAATAAGAAGAAATAAATTCTGTGAACGAAGCTCTGGATTTATAAAATTAAAGTTATCATTTTAAGAGCATTATTCTTTTTAAAAAGTACCTTAGGAAGGTTGACTAATTGGTGAATGACTAGAAAACCAACCAAACAAAAAAAATCTGTAATGGAGTATACATATATTTGTATGCATTCATGCAAACCTGTATACAAACAGTACTGAAACTCAAAAGAGCTTCAATATCCCAGCTATATGCATTTGCAGAGTTCTGAGGACAACTTCACACACAGATAAATGCCATCATTTGACCTGTGTCCTCTGCTTAACCCTATCAAATATTTGCTGATGAAATTGCAGGAGAAATTCACAGGGAATACAACTGTGTTTGGCCACGCTCCAAATATCGCAGCGTTTCTGAAGAGTAACTCAAAATTGGCAACAAATCAGAGTCAGACTGCTGAAGAGCTGCCTACCATTCAGGAAAACAAGGAACACATTAGGATATGAAAGTTCTTCACCACAGAGCAAATTCACATCTTCGACTCCAAGATTACTGGCTAGTTTAATGATTGGGCCATCTTCCATATCTGTAGTAATGTGAGTCATCAGAGCAAGGTTTTTAACCAAACCACAAGCCTAAAGAAAGAAAAAACAATTTAATCTTTTATCCATTCATGGAATCACAGAATCATTAAGGTCGGAAAATACCTCTAAGATCATGCAGTCCAAACATCCACCTACCACCAGTATTTCCCCATTAACCATGTCCCTTAATACCACATTTAAATGTTTTCTGAACACCTCCAGGGACGGTGATTCCACCACATCCCTGGGCAGCCTGTGCCACTGCAGCACCACTCTAAGAAGAAATTGTTCCTATTATCCAACCTGAACCTCCCCTGCCATTCCCTTTAGTCCATTGCTAGTTACACAGAAGAGGAGGCAGCCCCCACCTCACAACAGCCTCTTTTCAGGCCACTGCACAGAGTTACAGAAGAAATTCAAAGCACAAAACAAATTAAGTACACTGAAAATTAGGAAAGAAAAAAGTAAGTACTTTCTACATTGCACAGAAAGGTAATGTTTTAGCATTTAAAAATAAAAAGTACAGTTTGTAGATATGAAGTTAACCAAAACATGTATAACCATTTATTTTTCTCTCTTTAAAGCAACATCTTTATTATTTACATAGAAAAATCAAGGAAATAAAATTCAGCAGCATGACAATATTTGGACACTTTATTGTCATAGCACATAGTTTTTAAAGATAAAGTACATGAAGAAGTACAAACAATTCAGTTTTAGGTTAATAAAAAAAAAGTTAGGTTAATAAATTTTTAGTTATTAGAATCAATTGTTATAACTCCATACATCAAAACTTCTTAATTTTAATGTAATTTTACCACTATATCTTTGTGGAGACTTGAAAATAACAATATAATTGTTTGCAATTATTTGCAAAATAGGTAACAAAAAGCATTTAAGTATCTTAAACAGCATAATTTTACTTCAGCTGCTTAAGACTAGCTCATATTGATTACATATTTACTCCAGAAGTCCAAAGCTCTCACAGGGCTTTCCATTCAGGACGTAGAAAATGAAAAGATAGCAATATAAAGGAAGACTGCCAGCATCAATAATTTGGTTGAAAAAGCTCCATATTTAAAGGTAAGATAAAGCAGTTTCTGTAAAATTAATACAATTCTAGAAAAATTGCAGGTTGATTGTAATTTCAAAACAGTATACTCATTCTAGAACAAAGGGATAAGAGTTGAGGATTCCTTTTCCTGTCCAGATCAAAACAGAGCAAAGAGAGCAAAAATAATTCAACCTAATGATTTCTCAACAAAGCTTCTAGCCATTCCCTTCTGAAAGGAGAACAGTATAGTAAGGAGGACCAGGACGTAAACTGATGGGACGTGAGAAGACAAACAAGCAGTGCTACCTGACTAAGGATAATTTCTCTCATCAAGAACCCTCCTCAGCAAAATTCTTCCTCTGTCAGAGGACTGCTTCAAACCAAACAGTGCCACTGCTGCTCAGGAGGACAGAAATACTGACAGCAACATACAAGTCCCTTACCTCTCCTTCAGGAGTGTCCGATGGGCAGAGCATCCCCCACTGAGATGGCTGCAATGATCGAGGACCACTCACTTTCCTTGTCTTTTCAAACTGAGAAGAGATTCTAGTCATCATTCCCAGAGCAGATATGTAAGACAAGCGGGACAATACTTGAGTCACACCTTGGCGGTCCATTTTGAATCTCTTCAGAGACCAATTTCCCTGTAGAACACAACGAGCATTTAAAAAACAGTTATCACAGTTTATCTGTCTTTCAACACTGCATTCCTTTTTTCAAGATTTAGACTGAACAACCTCAGGAGCTTCGCACAGCCAATACTGCCCATTTCATAGAATCCCAGAATGGCTTGTGTTGGACAGGACCTTAAAGCTCATCCAGTCCAACCCCCTGCAGTGGGCAGGGCTGTCACTCTCTAGATCAGGTTGCCCAGGGCCCATCCAACCTGGGCATTTATGTCATACAGCTGTCTAACTACCCATCTGTATATAAACTACTGGTTATGACACACTTACTAACTGAAGTTGAAACAGAAGAATTGCTCTTCCAGATGATTTTGCTATAACATCTTCAATTACACAGAGACTGATCTTCACATGCACACAGGTATATCAACGCTCAAATTTAACAAAAGTAAAAGCTTTTCTGGCCTTTTTGAGTATGTCAACAAAAGGGGTGCTTCTTTTGTGTGTGAAATATACTTTTACAGTAGGTCCTGCTTCAGTTCTGTCTTTTTTGTGATTTATTTTGGTAGGAAACACAGATGGTTATACTGAAGCAATCTGACATCAAAGTCACGTGCGCTTTCTCAAAACCTTTGGGTATCAGAATCCAGAGGAAAAAGACTCATTCATGTGTCTTATCTTCAAAGAAGGGTGGGAGGTTTTAGGTCTATCCACACTTCTCCAGTGAGTTCACATCAACTAGAAGAGATTCATTCATATACCAATGATTTCATGCTTTGTGACTGTCAAGGGCAGTGTTACTTGTGGTTTCAACTAGAACAAAGGAGTTCAGAGAATGTTCTAGAACACAATTACGTTTAAATGGCAAGTAGATATATAATAATATCTATCAATACCCAGCAGTTCACTGCAACCTAAACTAATGTTTCAGCAGGCTATTAAATTTAGATACTACGTATCTTGATTTCAAGATCCATACTCCATATATAGAGAGTTCCTGGTACCTGAGTCAGTAGATACAGCACATTTTTGCCCAGTTGTTACTACTTGCCCCAGTCACAACACTACCAGTCAGTCCAAAGGGAGCCAAGAGCCTGAATGTTTTCTCTAGGACTGCCACCTCCTAATCACAGAATCACAGAATCACCCGGGTTGGAAGGGACCCCAAGGATCATGTAGTTCCAACCCCCCTGCCTAGCAGGGCCACCAAACATACACATTCAGATCAGGTTGCCCAGGACCATCCATGTAACCTTTTGACAAACTCATGCCAGCACAGCTAACAAAGAATTTAGAGTTTGCTTGCTATACTGCACTGAAATCTTTTTGCTAGGTTTCTTTATTTATACACTAACAGCATAATCTCATCTTTTGATTAACAGCAAGAAGAGAAAAATTGGGATGGATACTGGCTTATTTGCCTACATTACAGAGACTGTTAAGTAGTCATGAGAATCTGCCTTTTTCCCTTGTTGCAGAAAGGGCGAAGACATAATATCCAACGGCAAAAGGCCTCACTACTTGTTCATCCTTCTCACTCACTCACCATGACACTGTTACAGGACTGGAAATTAACAGAATATGAATGGAGAGTAAAATAAATCAGTAATTTATCCTCATGCTAGAAATGATTGTAACTTGAACTACCACGCAGTTTTTCTGTACTGTCCAAATGACTGAAATCTCAGCAACAGAAAAGGGAGGTAAAACACTCCCTGAAGAAATAATGTGAAAAAATTATTTATGCTTCGGAAGTGTCAGAGTGACTCCTTCAAAGCTGTCTAAAACAACCCAAACAGGTCAGGGCTGCTGCAAGATAGAGGACTTCCTACTGAAAACTCCCGTATCAAAATTCCTTCTGCAATGGCACTGCATGATTTTGTAGGCTCTGAAATGTCTGTTAGGTCTGTACCATTTCTGCTCACTTACTCTCCTCTGGTATTTCCAGGATACACAGACTAAGTACCACTGAACACCAGTGTACAGAGGATTTAGCAGTGTTATGAATTATTCTGCATGCTACTAGTGTAATTACAAGTCTGTTAAGTTATCTCATGCTCTTTGGGACTATCACTGAAGCATTCTGGTGAGATTGGAGATTGCTGTTTCCAAGAACGATGTTTATGGTATTTGCTTAATCTCTTGAATAGTATGCACTGGGCATTGTTCCTGAGAAATGATTTTCAATGCTTAAGAGCAGATGGTGTTTAACTGCTTATGTGACAGTAACAAAAAAAAAAAGTCCTAAGATAGCGGAAGAAGGAAGACTTTACAATATGTACTGAATAGTTTGCAGATTTATCTCTGTCAGTCCAAATGGAAAAACTGGCACCAGCTAGAAGAAAGCACAAGCATTTAGAGAAACAAATCTGTCAACTGTTTTGGGTACGTGCACTATAGAGATTTAACTACGTTTTGGGCACTCATAAAATTAAATAGTGATAAGCTTTAAACACTGGGATTTGTAAGTAACAGACTAGGTTGTTTCGAATGCAATTTGTGGAGTTAATTTTATTTACAAGAAATGAAGAAAAACTTCAGTTTTGTACTGGGCAGAAAAGCCCTCTCAAGAGTTCCAAAGATTAAGAAGCAAGTTGCATGCAGTCTACCAGCAACTAAAATACTTTCACTAATCTAATTTATTAAAAATTCACGTATTTCAAAGTCACTTACAAGCTACTAGCTAGATTGCAGGGATTATCACACAAACTGTTCTTGCAGATACGTGAGGTGAGAGACAAAGTTAATAATTACATCTTGCTCTCGTCCACTGGCATGAATGAAGATATCCACTCTAGTAGAAGGCAGATATGAGCAAAAATCTAACGACGACAAATTACACTTGATTCCAACCATTTTACAGTAACAACTGGTCTACTAGTTTTCCCAGTTAAATAGTTCAGTATCGTTATCATTGATGTAACAAAAAAAATACTGGCTCCTAGCTACAAATTTGCTCACACTAAATTTATTTCTACTAGCTAGCTCATATAATTAGAAAGGCATCACTCTTCAAAGAGCTCTTTTTTAGCAATCGTCTTTCCTTCACAATGTGTTCTTTTCCTGTCATATTTCAACCATATTTTGGACATATGATACAGCCTCAACTTAATTAGGTAATAAAAAAATATCACGAACCACATAATAAAGCAGAACGCACAAGACAGCAAGTTGGATTAACAATCTCTATTTTAAATTGGTCTGTTTCTACTGTTCCATCACAGATACTTCAAACACCTCTTTTAATTAAATGGGGAAATAAAAATTGGCTTGAAGAATAACGATTTTTCAGCCAATTCCAAAAGCCATGTCCATGACAGAACTTTGCAATTTTTGATAGATTTGACCAAAGACAGCGGAGCCATCAGAACAAAATTTACACCACTTCAGCACTCAGTACAGTGGAAAAATCTTGTATATTAGAATTAAACCAAAAGTACTTACTGTGGAAATGGCATTGACCATGCCATTGGTGATTTGGTCCTGACGCATGTGCTTCACTACATCAAACTGAGCTGCACGTTGCTTGGGGATTACCTGGTCAGCAATCTTTTTCAGCTCAGAGTTAAATTTTTTGAACAAATCTTCAAACAGAAGAGAAAGAAGCTGGAAATACAAAACAATTGGATTAAGGTCTGGGAAAAGTGGAAGAACGCAGGTGTTTCGATATTTCTACCCTTCTGGTCAGCTGAAATGCAGCGCTTGTTTCTTACATATTACTCTCATAAGTTTTTTTGCTTAAAATTTCTCAGATGTTTCACTTTAATAATTTCAAAATAGAAAGCAAAGTAAGAAGAAGAGTCTAAGCCTACCTATTCATCTTTTTTTTTGTTTTGTTTTGACCTTCGCAATATCTTTGCATATGCACCTATCAACAGTCAGAAAAAAACCAACCAAACAAACAGCAATAAATCTCTTAAGAAGCATTGCAATTTAAATTCCAAATGTCAGGAGGACTAAAAACACAGCAGCTATCAAATGCCAGAAATGGTAGTTCCCAGTGTCCAAGGCACTGTAAGGCAGAACAAGCTAGGCATTCAGCCATCAAAAGTCAAGATGTCCTGGTGTCAGTTGTGCAATTTAATTTTTTTATGTGAAGAATTAAAACTGAATTATAACTGTATCCATTAAACATAGTCTTAATATCTCCTTCTCTTCTGGAAAGAATGCAAAGTACTCTTCATACTATCAGCGGGATGGGCCATTAGATTTCACTTGCTTTTCTCCACTTACATGTCACAACCAGACTGATCAAAGTGTTAGCCAAATGACACTGTAAAGCAGCTACATAGATTATAAAATATCATTTTCACTAGCATCAGTGCATTTAAGTATGACAAGATCTACTAGAAACTCACACAGTTGTATGATTAGGCAATACAAGATTGTCACTACCTTTCACAGAGATTAAGAGTAGACTAAGTCTACACTAAAGATGTAAAGAGCATTTAGTGTGCAGTCATTAAATTGTAAAACCTTATATAGAACAGTGATCATGTCACTGCATGCTAACTCTTGACAAAAACAGAACCCTATTTCCATTCAGAATAGAGTCTTCAATAAAAACTTTTTTTTTTTAAACCTGGTCTTGATACATGATGAAGGTGTTGGAGACCCTCTTCCTTCCTGATCCTTGTGGGAACATTTTGCAATGCAACTTCCTCTTACTACTGTTAAAAGAAACTCAGTCACCTGAGACTCACTGCAGTGTCACAGCTTTTTTAAAGCCAAATTCAACTAGAAACGAAAACATCTTTCATGAAGTATTACATTAGGAAGGACAACCCACTGGCATCTCCAAAAATCAGATGAGATCAGATCAGATCAGATGAGAGATGTGTTTCAAATGGAGGGAAAAGGGATGTGCACAGTTTTAAGATGTCTGAAAGTCTTGTTAAACACAAAACAGACTCTTTTGAGGTCAATCCTGGTATACATTTAATCTCAACAGGTTTCTGTGCAGAAACTTTTGATAAAAACATGTCACATACAAAGACAATAGTTCCATTTTTGATTTCTTGATCTTAAAATCTTTACAAAGTCTCCTAGTTCCACGTGCTGTAGGGATTATAACATCATCCTTCTTCTCTGAAATAATAAAGCCAAACCCCAAGTACACAAACTTTGCCAGTCTGAAAAGTGTTATGCTTTGCTAATTTCACTCACGGACTCTCAGTTTGTAAGAGCTCTGACTATCTGGCAAGGCAGAGTCTCACAATAACCACATTATTTAGGTCAAGAGTGGGCGATTAAAGAAAAAGGATGGAATGCCAGTGATAATATTCAATGGATTTCATAGTTAGTCCAGGGCCTTTCAGCCTGCTTAAGTCAGGATCACTAAAGAGCAAATTATATTAAAGAAAAAAAAATACTGACAGCTCATCAATTGATTTTCATTGAAAATCCAAAGAAAAATTAATAAAGAAGTTAAGCTGCTGAAATACAGTTTCACCAATTAGCTTAATGTCAGAGAATTCTAATTAGGCGCCTTGAGATTGCTATTTAGCGTTTAAGCCTTTTGAGTGCCAAATTCTCCCTTTCACACAAACTGGTTGCAAAATTAAAGACATTAGGCAGCCTTAATTATATTATCAGAACAGCTGGGATTAGCCAATCTCTGAAGTCAAGGCGGTATTCTTTTGTCACAGGGTAGAAATCCCTTGCTTTCCAGGGTGCCGGATTTTGGTGCTGTTCCATATCTCACCCATACAAAGCAAGCTGCATTAGAAACAAAAAAAAAATGAGGACAAAGAACAGAGTAATGCTTAGCAAATAATGAACACATTAAGGAAACAGAAAAGGTAGGTGAAAAGATTAAGCCTGAAATCGGTAGGTTTTGCTAACACCTCAGCTGGCACCTGGCCTACCAAGCCTCTCGTGGCAGAAAGACTAAGAGAAAGCTCTGTAAACCAGCTTGGCTAGTGGATACAACTCTGTTATCTAAAGCTAAAGCACATTTCGTACTCTCTTGTCCCATGGGGTGTGAAATTAGCAGCTATTGTTTTCACACATCTTTATAAACACAATGCCTTTTATGTCTCTGCATTGTTTAGACCGCTATGTTTTTCTCCTCACATGGGAATCTTTTCTTTTTTTCCTTTATTCAAATTATAAATCAACAGGATTTTTATTCCAGGAACATGCTGGCATGAAAAGAAAAAAATAACAACAACAAAACCCCCTCACTGCTCATTTTATCCACACAAACTTTAGCTAAACACAAACATTTAGAAACTGACAAAAAAAAAAGATTTCTACACTTCTTAGTCAGTAATCAACAATATTAAACTGATAATACGGCAGAGAGGAATTCAAGTGTTCAGCTTGAAATGAGCATTTAAAATATCACAAGGGATCCATAACTGCTCTTAAACAAGTGTTACAGCCTCCCCCCTGTGCAGCTCTCCTTGATGTAGAAAAAATATGCATTGCCTTTGTTATGATGATCCTCTACATTTAAGACCCCTTCCCAGTTAATTTAAAACAACTTTGGTTGTTAACATCTGTGAGCAGAAGCCTTTTTCTTACAGCCTGTAAAAACTTCTTTCCGCTTTATTTTCTGCCTCTAAATTATCAAGAAAAATAACTACTTTTCAGTCCAGCTAAATAAGAGCATATGATAGAGCACTAATTACATTGATTTACAGCAACAATGCTACAGCAAAATAAAAAAAAAAAAAAGAAACAAAAAAAGCCCAACAAACCCAACAAATAAATCCATTGTAGACTGAAATATTTGTCCCACTAGAATATTGAAATTATGTCTTATTATTCTGCTTTGCTACAAGAGTAGAATCCTAACGGACAATTACACATTAACTTGAAGAAAAGAATTCCTTTCCTATGTGGTTAAGAATTTTCATTGTTTAATTTGTACTCAGAGCATCATCTTAATTCTGCTGACAACTAGGAAGCAAAGTACATTTTTATTCTGAAGTGACTGCAAACTGTGTGTGCACATGCAATCTGTATTTGCGTTCACACATGTGGATGAGAACAAGTGTGAGTGGGAAGGAAAACAGGGATGTGAGGCAACATGCACTGTACTCCTAAATAAAAGTACAGTAAGATGAGAATTCCCATAAGACTGGAACAGAAACTGATGGATACTGTTATTTGTACTGAAACAGAAACCCCAATGCAAAGCACGTGGGGAGCAGAAATGCAGTTTCCCATGGTAAATTATGTATATTTGTTTGGATTTTTGATGCGTGATCAATAATTACAGATTATATTGACTGCAATAACTCCAACTTAAATTCACAGAGATTAGAACAATGAAATCCAATCGTTATCTAAAGAAAACATCCATGCCAGGATAATTAAGCTGTTCCTTCACCCAATAGGCAAATTCGTACTGCTTTAGGAAAACATGGCGGGTTGATGGTTGGACTATATGATTTTAGTGGTCTTTTCCAACCTTAAACATCTATGACTTTCTAAACTTCATTTTGCCAACAGCAGTTAGCCACCAGCCTCTTTGCAAAAGAATGGTGCCAATCATGCATAAATTCAGCAAGCAAAGAAACCCATGCACTCTACTTTAATTAGTCAGTCAAGTTAACCTACTATTTTCAGAAATTTCAAATAATCCCTCCTAGTTCTGCCTTTAGTAAGCTGAAGATTTTTCCCACTAGTCATTTTCTGTCAGAACCAGAAGGCACACAGCTGCACCCAGAAAAGACAGCAAGAGCTTCTGAAGCAAATCAAGTGTTTGCGCTTTCATTTTTAAAGGCTCAAAACAGAGCTTATTGCCAGAAAAGAAGTATCTAGTAGGGCTTTAAACCACATACTAATCATGTTACTCTAAAGGCTAGATGAGCAGTTGATAACAAATAACTAATCATAGGGACTTCTCCAAATTAAAGATGGCTCAAGCAGTTGTTCTGCTAGCTGTTGCAGAAGCTGGGTTCTCCACAGAGGCTCAGCCCAGGCTTTATATGTAAGTTCTCTCAGTACAATGCTTCTGTATGGGGGGATGGATTTACTGCAGAAGTCTTGGCACTAACAAAGGTACAATGGAAGTAAAACTGATGCAGTATTTACAGTTTTGCCTTTTCATTTGTTGGAGGGGCAGAACAGAAGTCAGGATACAGTTTATTGGTCCTAACAACCTATCTATGAGTAAAAACAGAAAAGCTAATGAAAATAAAACCAGAGGAAAATGCTTCAATTGAGAAGGCAGGGATTCCCCTTACTATACCTCTTTTAAAAACAGGTACTAACAAAACCCCAAAAGAGCCTAAGCTCTGAAGTAAAAACCTACCTGCCCTGCCAACTCCAAGCGTTTATTTCCATAGTAGTCTCTGTCATCTACTTTATTTTCTCCTTGAGCCAGAATTACTCTGCGCACCATTACTGCTGTGTAAATGCATTTGGCACGGAAATTGAACTCCTTCACCTGTAATGAAAGAAATGAAGAACAAACTGATGTTTCAGGACCAATTCCTCAGTTTTGACTCAGACACCAATTTAAAACACAAGAGAACATGGCTGGACAAAAGGATTACAAAATAACATTCTGTAGTTGAGAATGTTCTCTATCAAATAGCGTTACTGTACTCTTTGTATCTGTTGTAGTTTCCATGGAAATAAACTGGAGGCATTACTTTCAGAGCAAGTAGTACAGGTACAGGTAAGGACCTGAAGTAACAGCTGACAGTGTCTGGCTATAATTCAGTGGTACAGCATTTCATAAACAGATTACTTTTGACTCAGTTAAAATATTTTTCTTCAGTTTGAGGATGATTTACTTCATCTCAACAACAAAGCAAACAAAGACATTTCTTCCATGTCAGCAAAGCTCTTCCACACGAATTGCACTGATTTTTCCATATAGAACAGTTTTTCGTCTCACAGTCAAAATCTGGGTAATCTGGGATAAGGATCATTTTTTTTACTGCTCATTTTCAAACTCTAGCATGTTGCTCTCACAGAGAAGATTTGCAGCTGTCTTATTTCATATTTTGACCACACAAACCAAATCCATACTTCTCCCTTGATTGAAATCACACTTTCCAGAAGTCCTCCTGTCTTATTCCCAAAACTAACCGGGATAAAACTTAAAGTTCTTGCATTATAGGAGCATTTCTGTGAGGAGGATGAGAGAGAGGTTTGTTCAAAACTTGTCGTTATTGCATCCTGATCAGCTTCTGTAAGACCATCAGTTCCTGTTTTGTTTTCAAAAGGACTGATGTCATTGCAACCAACACCACTTCTGGCCATCACTTTTGTAAAAGACTAAAAAAAAAATAATACTTTCATATTTTCCTTAAGTGAATGTTTTTCCATTGTGAATATTTTGCATATTTGGTCGTTTTTTGCTATGTTTTTTTCTTTTAAATCCCAACTAGCACCAAAGTTGCTCCTACGCCACCATGTTCTAAAGCAGGGCAAAAGAGTAACAGAGGCTGAACACAGACCAAACAGAACATCACCATCTAAAATACTCCAAAAGCATCTAAAGTCTCATATCACTTCTGGGTTTTCTCTCCTTAGCTGTATGATTTTATTAGAAGTCTGTTTAGCTCTAGAATGACACAGTCTGCAGTTCTTTGTGTGAGAAGTTTTCAGGTGCTATATCATTACAGACATACAGACATCATTACAGAACGAAGAAGAAAGAACTGGACATCTCTAAAAATAACCACGCAGATCTACTTCAGGGAAAGAAAACATTACATACAAGAACGTGGGTCAGAATAGTTGATGCTAGCAGTTCTCGTGCTTCTTCCATCTTCGTTTTCTTTGGGCCTCCCCACATCCTTTGCCTTCGTACTTTGTTTCCAATGTACTTCAATGCCTGTCAAGTGAAGCAATTAACTTCAGTTAATATCAGAGCTGTAACCTATAAAAACACACATATCTTCGCTTTCCTTAATCAATCAGTGCAAAGCCACAAGCTACAGACAACACAAACTTCAAGCAAGGTGGAAAATAAGAAACTGCATAAGCGATGCTAACAAAAAAAATCTCAAGAACTGAACACAACTATGATTATAATACATGCATACGTGTTGCCTATCTTGTCCTGATAACATCTGGAATTGGAAGTGTTGAAAGATTATGATTACTACAATGAGGACTGTAGGTATAAGAAAAAAGATTGTGTAAATACCAAAGACATCTAGTTTATCTCATTAGGCTTTTTCATCTCCAGTTCTTTTGTGTACTTGCTGAGTTTCATCTAGGTATAAAACGATGAGGTGCACTCTGAATTTAAGGATGTCACTACTTTTCACATGCATTACAACATAACCCCAGGCTTCTGAAAACAAAGAATTTATTGACTTTGCTTCCTTTCAGTTAAGCAGTTCAGAGCAAAGCCTAACTTTCGACAGGGCCTGCTGCCTAAAAGCCCCTGGCTTAAACTATCTCTGCAAAAAAACAAAGTGTATGTGGACTGCTGACAGAGCAAAGTGGTCAATATAATCATCTTTAGATTTTATGGCTACTTGCAAAAAGAAAAGATGCACCTGCATCTGTGTAAAAATTTGAGCTTTTTGGCACTCTTCCAGACTAGGAGCAAATGCAGCCATCACGTGTTCCTCTGTGCCAATCATCTGTACAATCTCTTGGTCACTTTCAACACCCATGGCCTAGGAAAAGAAGAAAAGACAGAAACAGCACAGGCTTTATGTTTACTCACTGACATTTGCTTATGCTAATTTGGTATTGTTTGTCTGCATTACTACTAAGCAAGAGCTAGTTCTTCCCTCAGAAACTGTGCCATCTGGCACTGGCAGTACATATTTTAGCTACGGAAGAACCCAAAATGGAAATCTTGATAAGCAGCAGGAACACACACGCACACTCTTTAGACAACAGTTAAATTCCACACTTCTTTTGTGAAAAATAAGTAACAACCCTACATGTGTAAAACCAAAACCAACTCAGAATCTACAACAAAGGAAGGTGAAATTACTTAAAAGATTACACATGGTCTCTTACCACAAGCAATTTGACAAATGCAATTGTCTACGATACAGCACGTCCTATTGGAGAATTATTATTATTATTTTTTTTTACAATACACCTCTTCTGCAGCTCTTTGCATCTAGAAGATGACTTCACTACACAGTTCCACTTGAAAGCCATTCTATTATTTCGGTGATCCTTGGACACCTTGTTAGGCTTTATACCACAAAAAAAGCTTAATAAACTAAGAAAGCGCTTAACAGGTTTAAAAAAAATCTCTCTATCAGTAAGTGTTTCAAGGTGGCAGCCAGCAGTGAAGGCCTTTGTGGATTCCAGATGGTGCTAAAGCTCCCCCTTCACACATTTGTCTGGAGCTCTGCCATATCAAGAAACAGAATAATCTCACTAAACCTCTTCTGGTTGACTTATAATACGTTTCTCAGAAGTTTGGGAGGAAGTTACGTTTGCATTCATACTGTTCTTCAAACTGCCAGCCACAAAGACCATTGTAAATAATGGCCTATGTAGACTCTGCATTCTGGTTTTCATTAAAAACTGGCAGTGTCTCAAAAAGCTACATTTTCCTCAAAAATGCACAAATACCTTTCCTTCTTTTTGCATTCATGGGGTGTTATTTTGCCTAATGCCTACCTAATGCTATCGCTTTGCAGAACTGATGCCCCAATTGTGAAGTACCCAGCTTTTTCTTTTTTCTCTTTTCTTCTTTCTTTCTCAACAGGAGGCCGAAGTTCTTTCAACTTAGAACTTTCTCTCTTCACCTTGTGGTTTATTGGAAATTAAAAGCAGCACAAAAATAGCACAACCCATTAAAACTGTGAGAATGGTTCAGTTTTGACATGAAGCACAGATCACTACTCCATTTATCTCAGACAAATTTGAGTGTCAAATCAAGACAGTTAACTGCACCAGGTAAGAGTGGTTCATCCCAGTTCATTCCTACCAGGTAGTCATACCATCGATCTCAAGGCACTTCTCAGAACCAGAATTTGTCTGTCTGATATGACTGTAGTTAACTTATGTGACTATTTTTCAGATACAACTATGCTACCTCATCCTTTCAAATAAGGTCACTTAGTAGTAAAAAACAAACAAACAAAAAAAACACTTCAGAGAAGTACATAAAATCCATCACAAATCAGTCTGATATGAAAAGCATGAAAGCTTTATCATAGTCATTTTCCACACTTCTAGAACTTAGAAGCTAACCAGCAAAACCAGTTTAGGAACCACTACTTGATTGACACCATTGTTACACTTAGTTCCAATAAGAAGAACATTTTATGAAGGGAATTCTTCATACTGCTCCAGGCACACATACCAGGAACACATTTACCTAGAACACATCAAATACAAGTTGATAAGGCATTGCTCCATATCCTGCCACCAGATTTAAGGTAAGAAGGCAACCAGACAGTAAGAATCATGTGAAATGTGAACAGAACAAGCAGGGAAGAAAAAAAACAACAAAAATATCAATCTGCAGTTTTATTATGTTCTTTTGTCCCTTTAAAAACAGAAAGTTGCAGTCAATTAGAAAAGGCTGATCATTTCTTCTAACTTGACAAATAGTCTGATTAAAATTTGGACAACATACAGATGAAAATAGGACATACCATCATACCACTACAGATTTTCTAGTTCAAATTTGCAGCAGCAAAACTCACTTGAAAATTTAAAAGCTGTTAAGTGGGAAAGGCTGTAACATAATGTATATTGTATTATTACAGAAATACAAACTGGGGAAATTAATTCATGAGTAGTAATAACTACGATTTCGGGCAAATAACTAAGAAAGATACGCTGATGTAGTAGCCTACAAATAAATCCATGTATTCTCTTCTGCGTTCTAAAAAACCAGTCAGAGCTGCACATACAAATCCACCTACATGCAGTGTGAATGGGGCAAACAAGAGACACATACTGGTATGAGATGTTTTCTTTGTTAGTAAGTTCAGGACAAGTGCAACTCAAGGGCTATCTTCTCCACTCACCCCCCAACAAAAGGAAAAAAAAAACCAACTAACCCAAGTCCCCCAGACAAAAACCCACTCCTGAATTAACCTATAACATCATTAGGATAGTAACATGACATTCTTGGGTTGCTACCTGTGTTACAGGAACACTGTCACAGGGTAAACCATGACAAACACCAAAGATGTGTGAAGTGCTACAAAGCTGATAGGAAGAGAATTAACATTACAGCACAGTTAGCCACAAGTTCTCTTGTTCGTTTTTGTTTGGAAGGCAATGCTGCAAAAGAACAACTTCACAGGAAAGTGGGGGACAGAAGGAAGGGACATGATGCAAAGGGATGACTTAGAAAGAGCAGTGACGGGATTAGAAAGGAGATGGCAGCAAGATGATGAAGAGCGTGGTTGGAAGTCTAGCAGTCAATGGATGCAATAGAAGTCCAAGCAAACATTAACAATACTCATATTATTCTGGGTTCAAGTGGGATAAAGTGCTCCAACTAGGGTCAACTGCTTCCTAGGACTGGGGAGGATCCTGTTGCACAAAGTCTGTGTGTGTATGTGTGGATACACACACTCGTAACACACGATAAAGTGTGCATGAAAGAGTGAGAGCCCAGTTCTTCCTCCCCCAGCTCGTGTCTTAATGATGATGTCTAGGCGTTTCCATGGCACTTGCCTAGAATGTAGCTCTGCAGTCCATCAGGCTATATTACAGAATGGAGACAGGCAGATGACTGGATTAAAAAGATGTCAGGGAAGTTCAAGGTTGACATCACAGACAGAATTGGTCTGGAGCTTTCATAATTCTAAAGATACGAGCTATGAAACTGTAGCCATGGAAACACATAATTCTGTGGGTCCAGCAAGACCACCACTCAGCTGTTCCTCCAGGGTTGCATCTTAACGGCTCCAAGGCTAACATAATTTTTTTTTTTTAATATGAAACTCAACCCACTGTTTACATCTTTTGCTGCAGGTCTTAGAGCATCTCCCTACAACCTCAAGATAATTCATCCAGCAACTTGTAACATAAAGTTCAGCTTTTGAGCCCGCCCTTGGCTACATATAACTCTCTTCCTTCTCCAGCTGGTTTTAGTGCAGCACTCAACCTTCATTTACTTCAGCGCCCAGAGCCTACCCAATCCAGGCCATACATCCAAACCAAAAATAGTCTTTACCTTAAAACAGCTCTAATTCCCTGCAAAAATGGCAGCAGCATCTCATCTGTAATCTGATGTTTTTCAAAATAGGAACATCAGACACTGTAAATATTGCTCTGGTTGCACGTGTATATTAACTAATAAAGCAACCTTATTCAGTAAGCAAGTTACTTTTGTCTGATGCTTTCTACTACAAGGAGTTCGAAAATCTTGGCAGATACATACTTTAGGGGACAAAATTGTTCACTTTATACTACTTCAAACCAGAAACTGCATTTACACATACAGGTGCTGCACAAGTGCTTCTGTCTCTTTCAAGAAAAAAAAAGAAAGTAAGGGAAAAATATCTGTGTTAGCACAGCAACAAAGGACTAAGTGCCCAAAAAGTAAAGAGCAGATACTTCCAAGTTTGTTCTAGTCTACTCTCAGGAATTTGTCTATTGTAACCTATCACATTTCATTTAGTTGTGGTCAATGCATTAAACTCCACAAAACCATGGCCTACATGTACTCATTCAGCACAACTTGCTGCTAAATCTTCTAATATGTCAATCACAAAGATTCTTACAGGTCAGATGGCAGAAGAACTCATTCAGGCTTGCAGTTTAGAACAGACTACAGGTAAGGACGAACTGCAAGGCAGATGCTCCTTCTAGGACGACCCTACACAGGCCGGTTCCCCTACCTACCCACCTTAAAGGACCTTTACAGCCACACCACTATTTCCTTCTGTATAGAAAGGTGATGACAAATAACCAGTTCTAAATTACCCAAAAAAGGATGATGGTCACAAACCAGTTAAAGAAAGAAAGATTTGCTTACCCATCCCAAAGATCAAGGCTCACCAAATACTTCAGAAAGAAGGATCGCTAGGTAAAGAACATTCCCCTGTGGCTGCCAGCCTCTAATTGAGGATTAGGGAAGCTGGTTCCACCCCTTCTGGTCACACTGGTGAAAGAACTACTTTCACCTGTGCTACCAGGGTTCCCTGTGTCCCTTCACCAGGTACTCCATCATTGGTTCAGTCTGTGAGTTAGCAATTCCCATGCTCCTTCCCTCCTCATGAAAGAAAAGAAAAGGTGGGAACAACATACAGAATCATATAACCATTAAGGTTGGAAAAGGCCACAAAGATCATCCAGTCTGACCATCAATCATATGTTCAGGCCTTGCCATAAAACGTTGTCAAGATGTGACCGTGAGTCATGCCTGAAACAGGAAAGTGATCTTAGATTCTAGTTAAAATAAGCACTTTTTGAGTTTTAGGCCTCAGTTCTGTTGGTCATTGGTATCTGTAATGCTCTCTACTTCACAGCCCTTGCACTTGAGATGAAAATGTCTAAGGGATGTTATTACCTCCACTTTGGAATTAAGGCACAGGCAGTCAAAACTTCAGACCTATGACTGTGTATACAACTTAACTTCAGCCCTTCCAGATGCACACTGTGATACAACCTCTACGTTAGAGAAGGAATACTTACTAGTAACAAGTAAGATCCACATTCTGTGCCCTTTCTACTGAAAAGAATTACTCTCCTTGTTTTTCCAACAGATGTCCTGAGCAGAATACTGGAATACTGCTGTGTGAGAGCTGAGGTACAAGGGGATCCTTTGGTTAGAAATTTTCTAATTTCAGAGCCAGAGACTTTTTAACTTGAGTTCCAGTAGTTAAATAAAAGCTATATTTACATTCCGCAGTGACCAAGAAGAAAAACATCAGAAGGCAGTGTCTTAATAATTAATTCAAAAAACTATTGGGATTTTTAGTTTGCAGCTGGAGAATCATCAGCAATGGAACGAAGATGTCTCAAGTTCACGTGACATTGAAAGAAAAAGTAAGGAGAATGATGTCTCATGAATTCACCAAGCACTAGTCAGGAATGGGGCAGTCAGAACAGTTAAAAGGGGTGCATCTAATTCCCTGCTGGACCAAATCGACATAAGGCTGTGAAAAGCACTACTGTGAGAATGTCCAACAACTGCAACCCCTTATTTAATAAATACATTTAAGTAAATATGCAACAGTTATCTGGAATTTTAAAAGTATATAAAGGCAGGTAAATAACTCTAACTCACATGGTTGGAAGGTGATCAAATAGACTATATAATGCTGCTAAAAAGAAAATAGAAAACCCACAAACCAACCCACAACCTCCTCAGACTTAATAACCCTGAGCAGTTACTCGTGCCTGTGGTCAGGTATTTATCTATACCAGCAGGGCGTGACAAAATGTAATAAAAGTCTGTTAGTGAAGGTGGAACCCAGCTGTTTGGTGCTTGAGCAAATAGATTATGGGCTACATTAACACTTTCCTGTAACAGAAAAGTTATGAATTTAATTCTGACATTCTTATGTGCATTTCTCCCCACAGATGGTCTCCCAGTCTCTTTCAACACTGGTCATGGAGACCAGATGATTTTCTCTAACCACTTCAAGTGATCAGCATCATCTGACATAAGACATTTGCTTCCCATGTCTAGAACCAATTATCTAGGTATATTCTAGAACCAAACCCAAAGCACTTCTCACAAGGAAGCTGATTCCTACAACTCAGAGCTGTGGTAACACAAAGCCTGTAGCTGCAAACTTCAGCACGCAGCACTGCTGGCAGGAACTTGATGGATGATGTGAGCGAGTGCTGACCTCTGCTGGCAATATATTTCCTCTGTAATTATCCCATTGCCAGCACTTGTTTGCCACGAAGCACTACAGGTGAAGACAGTAAAAGAGGTATAGAAGTTACTTCTGCTGGCTGGTGAATCTAGGGGGAAGGCCCTCGGTTTCCCTCTAGCAGCAAGTATCCTTGAGTGAATCAAAACGAAAGTGAAAAGCAGAGGGCAAAATAGGATAGTCTGTGGTTTCACAGGCAACGAGGGCCGTGGCATGATTCTGTCACCAGCTCAACTGGCAGGGCAAATACTCCATATTCACTCCAGTTCTTGCACTGCATCAAGTCTTTTCATTGGTCTCATCAGGGACCTCTTTAAAACTATCATAGCTGTCTACATTCACTGCACTGAAGAGAGGTGTGCCTGAACCAGAGATTCTGAAGGCTGTGAGACTCCATGAGTCTCCTGCCAAGAAATAAAAGCCACTCTAGTCATCTTAAAGGATTCTAGGTCTAAGAACTGCAGGGCCTCCCTAAAAGCAACCAGTTGTCTTCATGGTTATGACTGGAAGTTACATATGTCCAGTTCATGGCTATGTCATGTCACTGCATCTGAAATCAAAAGATACTGAGCTCCTCAGCAGCTCAGGGGTTCTGGGGAGAACAAAACCAGAAATGGAAACCCTTAACGTAAGTTTGCAACACAGTTCATTAGAAAGCAAGAAAAAAGAAAAAACCTTTACAACTTCCTGCAGCAACATGACTACAGGCAGAGAGACTTTACAAAGCAAGAAGGGGTAGCAACTGTTTGTCTTGGCACAGCAATGTTCTCCTTACTGAAAATAGCAGTGCTTTTCTCCTTTTTGCTGGACAACAAAGACAGTATCCCAGGGGAAAAAAAAGCTTTCTTTCTTTTTCTCAGCCATGCCACGTCTTTCTGTACATATTAACTTTTGAGAGCTGCAGTCGATCTTCATTTTTTACTACAGCATGGATACGTATTTTTTCAAACCAAGAGTTGTATTACCTTAAAGATGATAGCAATAGGAATATCTTCTGACAGAGTGTTATGCCTCAGGTAAAATCTTCCTTGTTTCACAACCAAGTTTGTTCTGCTCTTCTTCTCATGAGTGGAACTAAAGGCAAAAAAACAAACGTATTATGTGGAACATAAAGTTTGCACTGACACTCCAAGAATCTTCTGCATAAAACTTAGCAAGCTCGAGGAATCATTTAGCTGAACTAACATTGTGTTTTCTCTTTGAAAAATTACATGACAACTGCCAGATACCATCCTTTAGCTCCAAGATGGTGGGCTATTATCATTTGTGATCTGGAAGGCCAGTATTCAGTTTACATGTGCACAAGCCCACACTTTTCAAGAGCATCTGTGTATGGCTTTACCCCTGGTTCAGACATAACCAGCAAGGCCAGTCTGCGCACAGATACTGTGACATCAACAGTAACAAGATAACAGACTTCAAGTTGTACTTTTTGCATCGTTTAGGAGAGATGTGGGAGACTTCTAGGAAAAGACAAAATAGCCCTGACATCAGACAGTGACAAGAACTATACTATGCCAGCAGGCAGCTGCCAATAGGCAAAAAAGATAAATAAAACTCAGCTGAGGAGGAAAGGCCAGACTTAGACTACTTTTCAATTTTCAACAATTTCTGAAGTATAAAAAAAATTTGTTTCCTTCTCTACTGCCTTTAGAAGTTTTAACACCAATTTGATTGAGGCAGTCAAACAAAAGGTTATACCCTATTTCCACAGCAGTGACTTCATGTTACTTGCTACGAAATGAGGTCATACATCATCAGTTATGAGGTTCAACTTGTTATATTAAAAATTAGAATCCGCTTTTCCTAGTCTAGGATGAATACTGAAGCATATGAGCAATTCCCACTGATTTTCATAGGACTGCTCTCCTATTAGATTCTGGGACTGACATCTAACCATACAAAATGACAGAAGCAAGAGAGGAGCACTGAACACTTACACTTATTCTCCATTAAGCTATTTTAGAGAGAAAACTGCTCAGCTACTTCAACAACAACAACTAATGCTCAAACTGTCATTTTTATCTTCTTCATGTAATTGCAGGCATCTACCATACCTGGTAACAGAAGCACCCACTGTGCCTTTTCTATCAGCTTCCACAATTATTCTGTTTTTGGATAACTGCTCTTGGATGAGGATGACTTTCTCTACACCTTTAACAATGAAATAGCCACCTATTCAAAAGAAAAGAAAGGTTTTGCATATCAGTATCCCTGCACCTTACTCACCTCTTTCAGTATCTTTGAATAAAAATTATTAGACAGCAAACAGTGAGTATTTAAAGGACAACACAGGAGAGCAAATTTTCTCTTAATAAAGTAAAGAATAAACTGTCTAAAAGCTATGATTTCCAGGAAAATATTCCATTACACTAAATTGAACTTCTGCTAGGTTCAAATCCAGTCTTGGGGATCTAAGAATGTGTTTGGGAAGTGCTTGGACAGAATAAAAGTGGCCAGAGAGAGCTCTCAGTCAAACTAAACACTGTAAAGTTGGAAAAAAACAACCCTCAAACCTCCAAAGTAACCATGTTTATTTAAGGATGTTATAGAATTATTAATTTTACAGTATTGCCTGCCAGAAGAGCATATCACAAGGACGTCACAAGAGAGCTGGCCATTTCAGATACTGTTATAAAAGAGTAAGTCTCCCATAATTTACTCACTTGCACTCTCCAGCACTCCAGGAAGAAATTTACTTTGTATTACTTTTAAAAATGTATTTCAATGTTGCAGCTAAGACAATCTAAGGAATACGCACATAAGCAATGTTTGATTCCTGCCTTAAATTGTAGCTGTCTACTCATGCTCCTCCAGCACAGAACAGTATGTCACCGTATTTTCCCATCATGAGCAAGCACAGTCCAGTATGTGCTTCAAAGGCGGTCTATTAAAAGCCAAGACCTTGCTTGTTAGAATCCTTCATCTCCTCTCTGCATATTAAAGGTTATCATATAGCACCTTATTCTCGCTTCACAGAATGCAGTAAATGAATGTTCCTGCTCTGGAGAATACTGTTTTATTCCTCTGTTTCCTCTCTTCCCTGATCTATTTCACTGCCACAAACTAGCCCCATCACTTTCCCTTACAATACATCTCTGTACAATGCTATATGCACATCCCAACTTCTTCAAACTTGCAGAGTGTCGTTTCTGTGGTTGAAAGCTCTGTCTGCAAACACAAACATCCCCTGCTGTTATTTTCAAAAGCCTGATGATTTCTTTTAGCTACAGGTTTACATTTGAGAGTTCCCACAACGACTTCACAGTGATAAGAACCATAGCAATGGGGTATTCATCTGCTCAAAAAGAACTTGAATGGAAATGTACCTGGGTCTAAAGGACATTCATTGAGTTTTGCAAATTCTGCTGGAGTTTTTCCAGTAAGAACACAATTGGAGCTACGCAGCATGATAGGCATTCTGCAAGAAAATCACAGTTACAAGACAGAACGCACTTAAGGTACCCAAAACATAAGCAAAATACAAACAACAAACTTTTCCTTTAATCCAGCCTTATTTCACAGACTTCCGACATAACTTTATTTTTTAATGGAGAATATATGCTTTTTTTGAAGTTTCCTTCACCTATTGCATACATCACAAAATGACTCAAAGAACTCAAATTTAGATGTTCTTTTAAAAAATGACTCAAACCAATAAACGGTATGACACCTCCAGAAGCACAGGGTTCTAACTGCATTATTGTGTATCATGTTCTACTGACAAATGGGATGGATATTTACTACAGGAAGTGTAGCTTCTTAAGCACCTATCTTCTCTTTCCTGCCACTATTCCAGCTTTGGTCACATATTAAACAATGACAGTAATCCAGAGTTGGCCTTGAAAAATCTTGTCTACAAAAGACATCTTTGTGCCTTTAAACAGAGCTGTGCTATAACTGCCAGCTATTTTGCTTTTTTGGTATGGTTAAGAGCTTGTCTTTTTCTCATGCCCGTTATTATTTCTTTATGAAACCAGATGTTCTTCACAATATTAATACCCTCAAGTCATTTGATAGTTGATAGGAAAGCATCACCAGTAAATGATACTCATCATTTCTCCAAAAACTTTGCCTTGGCTCTAAAGCAAATAAATTTTAAAGTAGAGTTTAGTCTCATCTGGGGGAACCAGAGCTTGCTTTACTCATTTCACCCTCTGCTCCCACAGACATCTCTACATTTTACGTATGAAAGACTGAACAAAACACCTTTGGCTACCAAGTAAACACAATTATTCCCATTTTGCAAAAAAGGTCATTTGCAGCTCTACTTTTCTTTCATACAGTTTCCTCTAGTTTTATATCAATACAAACATAGGCAACATTCATCTTTATATCAATTCTAATAAATAACCTTCTTTGGAGGAGACCAATTTGCAAAAGCTTTTGAAAAATCAGATTTTGTAACGGAGCCTATGAGCCTCACTGTGTGCAGCTACTCATCAAGATTTCTCTATTGCCTCTTAAGAAGGAAGCAAGGTTGGCCTGCATTTATTTTGCAATGCAAACTTTTCCCAACACAGCGGCAAATAAAAACAAGTACCAGAAGTTTGACATCTTACCTGCCAATGGGTAATGCATTACGGATGATCCTCTGGCTACCTCGGGTATATTCAATGTCCACTGTAATCGGGGCAGAGTAAGTCATGTCTCTCAGGCGGCACTAAAAACAGAGCAGACCTATGGTTGGGTGGCTGAACAGTGTCTCAACACATCCCATGCTCTCTTTGTCTCTCTCTTGCTCAAGACTCAATCACTGCTATACTGATCTTTCTGGTCTGCTCTCCTCAGACTTGCTCTATCACTGTTGCTAACCCTTAGGTACTTCTGTATCTTCATGCAAGACAAGGTTTACTGCATATGCAGAACACAACAGAGCAACTGACAGAAGGTCATTTGTGACCTCATTGCACATTTTATACCTCTGATACCAGAACTGCAGATTTATCAGAATCCAGATGGCTCAACTTATGGTCCTATACAGCTTTTCTGTGTATGGATTATGCATTACTATAAGGGAATTAAGACTATACTGTGCACAGAGGGTGCATCTGTAAGGAAAAACAAGCCTCAAGAATCACTGCAAACTGGTTACTCCTTCTCACCACATGAAAAAGTAAACAATTTCTCTAGTAATAAAATACTGATGTGTACAAGGAGATATAAAATAGTAGATATAAAATAGACTTGTAGGAAACTGGATCCCACTGTGCTCCTGGCAACTTCATTGAATTTAAAAGTAATTGACAAGATATTCACTTCTAATTACTTCAAATTCATCTGTACAGTTGACGAAACTCACATAAGAACTGTGTAAGAAGGAGAGTTAGATCACTTCATCAGTATTACATGAGAAAAACAAGGCTTCAGTATTCTCTCTGTGTGCTTTGTCCACATAAAACACACTATAACCCATTGAAAGAAAAAGAAACAATATCTAGCAATAGGCATTAGTGAGAATACTTGAGATAGAAGAGTTGGTTATTCTAAATTCAGGGTGAATATGCTCCTTGAAGCATTTATTTTGCCTTCTTGTGCCTGTACAATCACCTCACTTTACAAGACAAGGATTTTGATTACCTTATTCTTAGGCCTGAGTTAGCCACTATTTCTCACATGCAATTTCATTCACATATAGAAAAAATCTTTCTCATCTCATTTTGTGCATGTTTAAATATATTGATTTAATGCTAGCTTAAAAAATTGTCAGAACCATGAGGTGGACTCTATTACATTTAATTTATTGTTGATGGCTGAGTTATTAGCTTTACTTAAAACACTTCCATTGAGCTAAATGAGAACTGAGCCAGATTGTAGAACACAGCAATGTGGCCATGCACAAGAGGCAACAACCAGTAGAGGGCTTTTTTACAGAATCTCTCCCAACCACAGAACATCTCTGTGAAAGCTTAAGTGTACCACATACATTACATGGAAAAAAAAAAAAAAGGAATAATAAATAAATAGATACAATTTCAAGTGTGAAATATATACAATAAAAAAGAAAACATCCAAAATGGCAACTGATCTATCAGGTTGACAATAGGCTGCATGTAGATAAACAGGAAAAAGAGATGCATGTTCCAAGCTCTGTTTTTCTTCTTCCTTATATGTAACGAAGCTAGCTTACTTTCTAGCAAAACCAGCAGACTTTCTAATTCCAGTCACAGCATCACTTGTTCTTCAGGAGTCTTTATTTTGGACACGCACAATCTATCTGTTAGCCTACATCTTTACAACAGGCAAAACAGCTTTACATGCAGTCCGTAAGACTAATGTTCTGCTGCAGTTTGTAAGTTATTATCAACTTCCAACTGCTCAGAATTTCTGTATTTGCTCTCTATCTGACTCAGACTTAAAAACTGCAAGGGATGTACTTCCAAAGAAGACTGGGTCTGAAGTGATCTACAGTGCAAAATGTAGCTGCCATGAAACACTGAACACAACTATTCACACACATCAGGGCAATAACAGAAGGAAGAGTTACTATGTGATGTTTAAATATGAAGCTTCTTTTTACAAGCATGTGTTGAATCATAAAACGTGGCACGCTTGTGCTTGAAGTAAAATCAGATGCAGCAGTTATCTAAGGCATTACTGAGGTCAAACAAAGAACTCCTCACAGACACAAATATCGGTACCTCGTGAGGCGATACAGGTCGTGTCACATTGAAACTTTCTTCCACATCTGGAGTACCCACATAGATGTTGAGGTATCTGTAACACAAAACAATTTAAAAATGAGCCAAATGTCTTCCGGGCAACCTGAAGGAAAAGGAGTTCTACAACAAGTAGAAAATGAATTTGCTTTGATGTGAAAGTAGGTTGATTAACAATAAGCAATGATTCTTCCCAAAGTAACCCACTGTACTTGAACACTGTTATAGTTAGTTAAAACTTAAACTCACATACAAAAATAAACCCAGATCACCTTTGCAAAAAGGGAAATGGAGATTCCCCTCCATCACCTGAAACTGCTAAGTTATGGAAAGATAGTGACATAAAGCATTGTTAACAACAGAGTTAACTCTATTTATCAGAATTATTATTTAAGCATCTGTGTGTATGTGTTCCAACTAAGAGGAAAGCATGCAAGAGCTTTGCTTCATTTATGCCCAGGCTGATGCTTATAAACACTTCACAGTCAATAACAAACCCATGTAACTTTATGCAAGCTAGTCCTGATAGGGAAACCAGCTTTATGCTTACTTCAAGTACCACATTGGATCAGCATCACTTGTCACTTTTTCATTGGCTTTCATGATTTTCTTTATCTGAAAAAAAAAAAAAGAAAAAGAACTGAATCATTTCTTTTTTTTCTGACTACTAACAGCCAGCCCATTCCCACCAGGAAAACATACCTCCACGTTGATAAAATAGTTGAATGAGTCTATATGCTGCTTCACGAGTCCTTTCACCTGAAAAATACATGCATGCAGCAAATAGCATCAGCTTTAATAACACTGATCATATAAGGCAGACATTGAAATATAAGCATTTATGAATGCTTCTGAATCACTGTTAAATTTTTTTGGTGGACAAATTTCTTAGAACTGAACAATCTGTCTGGTTCCACACTATATGTTTCCAAGTCTACACAAGAGCTGAAACAGAGAAGTAACTCAGGAAATGCAAAAGCAAGCACCAAGCAGATTCTGAAGTTATATAAGCAGAAGATAGTGACTGCATGTCAAAATATCTTTTGTCTTTTTGTAGCACAACTAACCATTTGTGTTACTTGAGAAAGCAGTGATCTGCACCCTGGGAAAGGCAGCTGCCAGAACGAGAGGGAGCCAGTGAGAGCAGAGAAGTGGGGTGTTAAGGAAGTTGATAAAGAAGGGAACAGCCACACAAGGACAAGACAGACTCTCATAATAAACCTGAATTTGATTTCTAGGTAGGAAGAGCACTTGCTCATATGTAGTATCACAGAACCAACAGCACCCTGTTTTCCTGCAAGATCACGATGCCACAGGAAAAAAAAAAAAAGCTGCAGGGACTGTACACTGAGAAGGAAGGGAATTAACAAAGTCAGGCTGAAAGATGCCTGGTTGAAGGGGGCAACACTTCCAGAAACTGATTAGAGAGGTGCAGAGGTGGCCGCTGTTCTGCAGAGGGACCTGTGTATATCATAGGTTTCACCTTCACCACACAGTTCTTTCACCACTCTGCCCCTTTCCATTCTCACTTCCAGCTGCCAACTACCTGTTATTGCAATTCATTTTAAGTAGAACTGTGCCTTTACCTCATACCAGATTATGAGAATAGCACTGAAATCAAGCAATCTCGGCGCTCAACCAAGCTCTGATATTTGTGAGCAGAGATATCCGCACACTGCAGCCTCTGCAGAATGCAGATCCGGGTTTCCCTGCAACAAAGACAACTGCAGATCCAACAGCAGCGTTTGCAGAGAGCTGATATAAAGACCACGATGAGGGCGTTGGGGTGCAGTGGGAGCCTAAACAACTGCACTGCCCTGCCAGAACTGTGAAGCACAAAGAGCTCAGGGTGTTCCCGCCTGGGACGGTGCATCCACTGACCTTGAGGAACGCGGGTAGGAGCCTCCATTTCTCCTGCAACCAAAACACACAGTGGGAAAGTTGGTTTCCAAAGGGTGACCAAACATGCGTGACAGCTAGTAATGGTTTTTGACAGTAGTTACATCTCACGTCACTTAGGAAAGAATAAAAGACCGCCCAAAGTCAGCTCAGACGAGCAGAAACACCCCGAGGGATGACTGGGACCACCTCAGCAGCCCCACGTGCTGCGCAGCACGGACCAGGGGCAACACCCAGGCGCCAGCAGCACTCTCAGGTCACCCTACTGCCGCAGAAGAATCGCCGCTCCTCGCCCCGCGGCTTCCCCCTGCCTCCTGCCCTCCGCCGCTGCCCTCACCTCCACTGCGCTCACGGGAGCTGCCGCCCGCTCCGCCGTCACGGCGCCCAACTCCGCCGCCAGCGCCTCCATCTCACCCGGCGGACCCGGAGGAGCGCGCCGCGGTGTAGCGACCAAACGGGTCCCTGCTCCTCCTCGCGGAGCCCGAACGTTCCGGGCACGGGCAGTTCCGAAGCGGTCCGGCCTCGCGCGGCTGAATGATTTGTTCCTAGCGCACAAATGCTCCAAACAATTCAATCTTCCCTTGAATGCCTCCGCTTGTTTGTTTGTTTGTTTGTTTGTTTGTTTGTTTGTTTGTTTGTTTGTTTGTTCTGGTTTTGTTGTCCTAAAAGCAGATTCGCCTCCCGGTGTGCAACGAGTCACTCATCACATGCTCAGAGGAGACATTGCTTATTTATTTCAGGATTGCAAACCTGGGTGCTGGTGGGTTCCCGTAGATCACACACAAGCACAAAATGATCTGCACAATTTTTATACACCAAAGTTATGGAGTGTGTATTTTTCCAGTCTGTTCTCCTCATGATAATGGGTCAGTGACAACATTGCTGACTCCACACTTACGCCGCTACTCATGCTCAGGGGAAAAGTCTGCATGTGGGCTGGGGTCTGTGTGACCTGTGGGTGTGAGGATCTGTGACCCGGTTGAGATCTGTGGGTTAAAACTGGGGACCAGACAAACAAAGGACATCTGGTGGTTGGGGTCTGCTGTAGCCACCCAAACCAGGGGGAGCAGTTGAGGAGCCTTCTCTCATCTGCTACAGGAGGTGCCAAATCGCAGGGCTCACCCTGCTGGGGAAAGAGCTCTCCTGCCTCTAGCATGAGGAATTCCACAGAGGAGGCAGGAAACTGCCATGGCTGAGCAAGGGCCCGCTGGTCAGTGACATCACCGAGCAGCGGGCTGTGATGTCACCAAGTCTTATGCCTGGACTCCCGCCAAGTGTGTGTGTGTGAGGCTTGGAGCAAGCATTTGTCTTGGGTGCTGGGCTGTGCTTTGGGCACTGCTGGCAGTGGCCCTCGCTGCCCATCCCTACAGCCATCACTTGCATTTCCCTGACCTGTCTGGCTCAGGCAGCTGGAGCCCCACAGGGTGCATGTGCAGCAGAAGAGGCGAGCTGGGTGGGGACATGTCCCCAAGGGTGGCAATGAACACTAGGACACGAGGAGCTGCCAGAGCCAGGGCTGCATCCTGAGGGTTCTCTGAATGTGTGGAGCATGGGGACAAATGTCACCTCAACTCTCCAACCTTAGCCTTCCACAAAGTCTCGGTTTTACATGGAACAGAGCTGAGGCACAACAAGCTCTGTAAACAAATATTTGCAATCAGGTCGGAGCAAATCTATGCAGCAAACTGAAGTTTAATGCTCTTCTTTCTCTCTCTCTTCTTCCTTTACCAATTTCCCACCAAAGGAGGTGGGAGAAATGAATTAAATCAATAACCAAAGGCTTCATTTTTACAAACCCTTTAACCATTAGAGCTCCCAGTCTTCACTGCACCCTTCACAGCCTCCCCCACCCCAGCACACACACCGCACATGTAGAAGAAATACTCCCAGCCTGGCCTTAACCATATTCAGTCCATGCTCTGTACTTCAAGGTTTCAAGTAATTGTTTCATTCCTTGATGTAACCCCATTCTGCCTGTTGAGCCTTTCTATTCTGCAGTTAGTATGCATTGCAATACGGGGCAAAGGCCCACTGTCATTCATCCTTAATTAAAAGGACACAAGCAGTGGAGTGGTGAATTAGAAGTGCAACAGCATACTATCTCAGAATCTGAGCTTACAAAATGTAAGAATAGGACTCATCAAATGCAGCCCTGACAGAGGAACAGAAATTATTTTTGCATTATTAAGAGAATCCAACAACCATCCTGCTTTCAGCACAGTCTCAGCACATTGTATCTGTGCCCAGGCCATACCTCAAGTCCATCAAAACTAGCCAACCTGGGCAGGTGATCAAGATAGAAATAAGAGGAAAAAGCAATATTGATACATTAACCACCTTTAATAAAAACTTCATTTACGAATATTCCACCAGCCCCTGTCACATTAATGGAATTCCTTGGCAATCAAAACAAACTTCTAATTACCCCCACTCATCCACCAGTCTGAAGCCTGTTATGATTAACATACTCCCCATAGAGTGTAGCTATAGAATCTATAAGGTTGGAAAAGACTGCTAAGATCACCTTGTCCAACTGCCAGCCCACCCCCACCACATGTACCTCAGCACCACATTCACACATTTCTTGAAACACCTCCAGGGACGGTGACTCCACAACCTCCCTGGGCAGCCTGTGCCACTGCAGCACCACTCTTCCTGAGAAGAACTTTTTTTTTTAATATCCAACCTGAACCTCCCCCAGTAAAACTGAAGGCCAATCCCTTTCATCCTATCACTGTTACCTGGGAGAAGCAGCTGTCCCCCATCTCCCTGCAACCTCCTTTCAGGTCACTGTAGAGAGCAATGAAATGTCCCCTGAGCCTCCCTCCTCCAGACTGAGCAACTCCAGTTCCCTCAGCCGCTCCCTATAAGACTTGTGCTCCAGACCCTTCACAACTCCACTACCCATCTCTGGACATGCTCCAGGGCCTCAGTGCGACCTATGATCACACAGAGTACGTTAATTTCATCAAGAGCCAGATGTCAAGGACAGCAATTACACAATGTGTAATATCTTTCGCTCTGTGCTCCAGCTGAAACTGAAAAGTTACAGAAAAAGAAAAGCGCCACAACATATTAGTGCAGTCCTTTATCTTCAGCATTTAACATGATCCATTACATTTCAGAAACAATTTGCGTAAGAGACTTCAGCACAATGGTATCACAATTGAATGCATACAAAACTTCAAAAATTCGTATTTCAATAAAAGAAGCTGTAACAGAATGGCATCTTGTTTCACAAGGACAGTTTCAGAGCAGAGGCAAGTGCTTTTCAGCCAGGGTAGCGTCAGCAGCATGCAGTAACATGACATTAAACAGATGCAATCCCGATGGTTGAAACATCAAATAAAAATTAAGATACATTAAACAAGCACTTGAAACATAGGCCATGCTATAAAACGCCCTTTTCAAATCACCAAAATTTTTTTTCCTTTGAACAGCAGAATGTATATCTTGTATTAAAGTTCATAGTTACATTATAAATGTTCTTCCAATACCCATTTAAAAAACCATCTTTTGGCTGAAACTTGACGTATGTATTTCCAAGGGTGTAGCAAATCACAGAGAATTAACTTCCCATAAGTGCTTTTGAAATGCATTCTTCTCTGGCTGACTTTGAATTGCATGTCGAAGTTCTGGATCTGTTTGAATCAATCCATTTTACCTCCTGGCACTGTTACTGTATTCTAAGAGTTCCTTTCTCAGGCTTCCATAGAAGTTCCCTTCAGAATACATATTCAGTTTTTACACCTTTTGTATTTTTTTAAAACAAAGGATAGAACAGAAGTGCACTACAGCCATTTGTTTTCTAAAAGGCCTTTCAAAAAATGATTTTCATACCATGTACATGTGGCCAAAGTCCTCAGACACTGAGGAACAGCTGACAAGAAGTCATTTCCCTTATTAAAAAGAGTACACAATTCTGTAAAAATGGACTACAAAACCACAGTGCTAATAATGCCCAGTTTTGTTATGATAGACATAGTAATATATATAATATGCGTGGCACATTAAGCTTTTATGGGCAACTCTTCACATCAATAAGAATATATCGTAGTATAAAATATTAAAAACAAGCTATTTAACTTGTACCACATGGAATTTATATATATCTGACACTTTAAAAGGACCATTGTATGATAATATAAAGGATCATTTTCAAGTAAATTATGATTCATTTCCATAGATAAGAACACATGTATATCAAGTATTGCAGCAGTATCTATTCCCAGTAATCTGAAATATGCAAAATAAAACATGTAAACTTACAGAAGTTTACTTCTGTATCTCTCAGTTCCAAGCCTATTCTATTTCTGTATGTAAGATTCTGGCTGTATTAAATGGGAACCAAGTATTGGGGCTGAATCTGCAGGGATTTTGAGAAAAGCAAATTCAGAACACCATAAATCTAAAATGAAGACGTACTTCTCTCTGACACCTACTGAGAGTGAACATGATCACATCTGCAAGAATTGCAAGGGATCTGGTTGTCTGCTTTCTGACACGAGTACTCAAAATACATTTTGAACATTCTAGGCCCTTATTCAACAGATTATAGAAGGTGAATGCTCTCTGTTGTACTCTGTAAGATCTCTCCCAAAGTCAAGTGCTTTCAAGAATAAAGGTCAGAAAGCCCAACCTCAAAAATACTTAATACCCATTAAGATCAATACAAGCATATATATTAGAGGTTAGACTTGGGATCTGTATGATATTCACTAGATGGGTATCATACAGATATTTGCATTCCCACCCCACCCCATGCCTGGCATCATGTTTCTGAAGTGTTTCATCTCTCTATCCTGTCCAGTTGACAACTACTGAATTATTCTTATTTTAAATAATGAACGCTTCTGCAACTTCTGTACCAGAACAACTTGCAATACTGGCATTCCTGAACATAACAGGGGCTAGGTTTAGTTCCAGTATTCACAGGAGCACCAGAAGTTGGCCAACTATAAACCTGGATTTGGTTACAAAAGCAGTTATGCTACATTTCTTTTTATACTTCAAAGTCTTTCCAGAATCATGTTTTTTTTTTTTTTTCATTAGACGCTGCTCTAAAAAATACAATGTAAGCATAATGCATTTTATCTACAATTATTCTGTCATCTCAAAATAGCATATGTAAATATATGTAAATATATATTTTTTAAAATATTATGTTTTAATGGTGGCAAAACAGTAAGTGCTTCACCACCTCCTACCCACCACAAATACAAATAATTGCTTGTCTCAAAAAGTGAAATACAAGTGCCACAATCCATTGAGCAGACTTAGTTCAATAAAATATATGTAATAGAAATTAATTTTCTTCCAGTGGATTTCAGAAATTATCCATCTACAACTTACAAGATTGCTCTCGTTAATAGTCACTGGAGTTCTTAGTGGGGGAGCCAGAACACAATCTCTATATTAAAAAAAGATA